TTTTCTCGATGCCAGGTGTTTCTCCTCATAGCCAGTCAGGTGGTACGACGGGAGTGGCACAAGGAAGAAACCCGCAGCTCCAGTCACAAAAAACAGCACCATCAGAAAATAGAAGTAGTGGTCCGGCCTCCCGTCAAAAAAGGCCAGCTGGATGCTTCCCACAATGGCGGAGCCCAGTCCGATGTACGACTTCAAAATGGCCACGACAGGGCCCTTGCTGATCGGGAAATGGCTCATGATCGTCATCATGTATACTACGTCATACAGCGTGCATCCGAGTGTCAGAATGGCGTTGAAAACGCTTAGACGCACCACAGAGCCCTCAATTGTCCCGCGAAATGACAGCGCAAACAGCAGCGCCCCGAGAGGAAACAGCACCATGCTCAGTATGAAAATCGGTTTGGGACCAAAGTGATCAAAAATGAAGCCATATGGCATAAGAAAGTAGCCAACCACCAAACCCACCGTGCTGATGGTCGAGATATCGCGCCCAGTAAGGTCGTAACGCGACTGCATCTCCGGCGCAATGAGATTGAAGGCGTAGCTCAGAGATGAGCAGATACAGCCATAGGATCCAAGCAGCAAAATCGCAAAGCGACGGGGCTCATAGATTGCCTTCTGTGGCCCCGTAGCGAGAACTTCAACAAATTGTTCGCCGGTCATGGTTCACGCCAAGCCGATTGGATGAGTGCTCTTCCAATTGATATAATGGTTGCAGACAGAGTGGCCCCTATTATATCTGTGTCTAAGATATATAGGTATATAGATATGGATAGACACGCGTGTGTGCTTCCCTCCCTTAAAACCCACCGTCTTTCGCATGTCAACACGCAAACCCAAAAAAAGTGAAAGAATAGAAAAGGCGCCTCAAAACGACACACAAATATAAATACCTACGCACAAAGGACCGGCCACGGTGTGCCGCACAGTTGGTGGGGCTCGCCCCCTCCCCCGTCCGTTCTTGTAAAAAGTAAAGAACACTCCGAAAGAAAAAGGAGGAGAGGCAATGGCAGTAGACAGAGTGAGAAACGTCATCAAGCGCCCACACAAAAGAGGACAACAGATCTAAAGTTCCCTATCGCGCCACCCTCACGCTCCCTCCAACAAAACAAGAAACAAATGCCAAACGCATATGTTGCTTCACTCCTCACTACCTTTCCGACTGGCTGCATGCGTCCTTTTGACTCTCCGCCCGTGAATGCTGCGTCCACGCCTAAACACACAACACACAACCGTAATATTATTCCACGTCTAATATACCAATACATATATGCATACATACACACGTAAACATCGACATATACATGCCTTCAGGTTTCGTCTGCAGCAATTCAACATTTAATGAATCCGACGCAAAGAAACAGACAAGTACTACACATCATACACACATCCATTTTATGAAATATTGATGGAGGAACAAAACACACAAGCCCAAATAAAAAGAAATAAAAGAGCACGCTTTCAGACGTGCAGCATATAAACAAGTGATGATACCGTGGCAATAAAAACAAGCGGAGAAATTTAGACGGCAACAAAAGCTTTGAAAAGCCACGCTTTCGTCTTAACGCACAAGGACATACCGCCATGGAAGCAGACGCATGTGCGCCTGTACTGTCGTTGGGATGCCTCAGGTTCCTCGCCATGTGCATGGAAGTAAAAACAAACGCGCACCCAGGCACGGCACGGCACAACATTCCCAAAAATGTGACACGGCAACCAAAAGCAAAAAGGAATGCAGCTTGGATTCCGTGTACTCCGCATCCCCGACGCCTCAGAGGAGATTTGTCCCACACTCATGCACCGGCAAACAGACAAATTCATTAAGAAATATGTGTAAGCCTCCAAAGGTGGCTGTCTTCAAAAGGGCCCCGCAACCGCCGGACTCCCCTCCGCGTGAGGGCTAACAGCGGGGGAGGCGGGACAGAAAAAAACTGCCCTCGCTGCACTCCAGCACGGTGTCATCGGGGGAAAAATTCAGTTAAGAAACAAAAAAAGGCGGGAAAGTTCGTCAAAACACAATATCACCAAGATAAACACCCTCGTCTTCGCACGTTCCTCTCCACGGGCCCCCATCATACATCAAAAACATGGTATGTATCCCCGCCACCGTAGAGAGTCAAAAGAAATGAAACCAAGTAGATACGAGAAAAACAAAGTCAGGCGCTCCTACCCCTCCTGCTGTGTCATTTCGTGCTCACGCACCCATGAGATACATACGTGGTGACACCTTCGCACTCTCCTGGCAGCTCTAACCAAATACACACGGGCATAAATTGACACCATGGAAAGAAAATAGAAAGGAAAACAGAAAAAAGAACACATACACACAAGGCGCCTCGTAAATTAAGGGATTTGAAAATAACGAGTGGCAAGCACACCACGTGGATTTCTTTTCCTTCCATTGGTGTTGGGTGCCGCCTCTGCTGCTCCCCTGGTGGTGGTGCCCGCTGTCTTCGCCGTGGTGCCAGGGTCAATTGCCCCGTATTGTCGGGGGAGCCAGGAGCCAGCAACGTTTCACTCACGGGGCCATTGTTGTTCGCGCAGGGCTGACGGCAACAGCCAGCACCCGGGCCTGCCGCGTCTTGCAGGGACACAGCCGTAACGCCATGAGGGCTGGGGGCACGTGTCACCGCAACGCGGGCCATCAAATCTATTTTAAAAAACACAAAACAAAACAAAAGGCTCTGCCGCTACTCTCTCCTCTCGGATCTCACACGCACACACGCGAGGCCAAGAGAAAAAAAACAATGGCAGCAGCAGAGGCGGCAGTGTCAAACGCCCATCTCTCTTGTGATGAGTGAACACGACCGACGCCGTTCTCTTTACATTCATCCTCGTGGAAAACGGCATCGTGTGCCGCAGCACCCACCCTCAAGCAGCCGTTGTCATCAGAGGAGTATTCCGTAGTCGGTGCACTCCCTTCACAAAAACCGTCCACGTCATCCCTCACAAATAATTCACTCAGGCCCACAAACCCCCGCCTTCTTGCTGCTCCTCAAAGAGGCGACGCCGCTCATCCAACACCTGACGATTAAATTTCACGTACTCCCAGTGCACATAGGCGTTGGATATGAAGGCCGTCACGTTGAATCCAAGCATCACAAGCAACGGGAGCTGCACACAAGCACAATCCAGGCAAACATCAACACCTCGCCTTCTTGCCTCCCGCGTGTACCACTCGCCGTACAGAAGGCGGTTCAGGAAGACTGTAGAACTCACTAACGCAAGGAAAATAAAATTGTAGTGCTTGGCGGGGTCCTTTGCAAAAACAGTCCGAGAAACCAACACAAGGGAGGCTGCACTGAAACCGTTGCCAATGGCACACAATAAGTACGGCAGCGGCAGTGCAGCCCTGGGCACCACGAGGAATAAAACCAGCGACAGGATCACGAACACATCAGCCAAATAGACAGAAACGACAATCGAAACCCTGTCCTCGGCCTTGCGTTTCTGCGACCAGACCTCGAAGTAGCTCATCAGTAGCCGACCCGCCGCACTTCCCACCCCGTTCAGCACCGTGAGAAGCGTTTTGATGGCGTTGTCCACCTCTTCGTCAGCAAGCGCGGCGTAGAGAAAGCTGGCATTGTAGATGATCACAAACCCAGAGCCCGCAATACAGAAAAAGCTACAGAGAAAAGCCCACAACTTCAGCGTTTTCAGGTTCTGGAGAAAGGTCGTCTGGTACTGCGGCGCAATGTAGTCGACGTCCGTCTCCACCTTCTTCGGGGGACCACCAGCCGCCGCACGCTCGTTCGCCACCTCATCACCCGCACTCGGTCTCTCCGTCCCACCGCAGTCATCCTCCTCCCGTTGTGTCTCCCTCCTCTCAAGGCACGAAACGGGCAATGCCATCAACGGAAGTGCCACAAGGACAGCAATCAAGATGGACGCAAATATGATGCGCTGCGTCCTCCCCCACCCCAGATACGCAACCAGTGCGCTCTGCAGTGGCAAGTATATAACCAGCAGGACAACAAACGCAATGCCGATCGCGAAGCGAATTGTGGGTGGTTGCTGGCGGAGGTAAACGGATTTGCGTGCCAGTCGTCTCTCCTTTTCCTCGATGCCAAGGTGTTTCTCCTCATAGCCAGTCAGGTGGTACGACGGGAGTGGCACAAGGAAGAAACCCGCAGATCCAGCCACAAAAAACAGCACCATCAGAAAATAGAAGTAGTGGTCCGGCCTCCCGTCAAAAAAGGCCAGCTGGATGCTTCCCACAATGGCGGAGCCCAGTCCGATGTACGACTTCAAAATGGCCACGACAGGGTCCTTGCTGATCGGGAAATGGCTCATGATCGTCATCATGTATACTACGTCATACAGCGTGCATCCGAGTGTCAGAATGGCGTTGAAAACGCTTAGACGCACCACAGAGCCCTCAATTGTCCCGCGAAATGACAGCGCAAACAGCAGCGCCCCGAGAGGAAACAGCACCATGCTCAGTATGAAAATCGGTTGGGGACCAAAGTGATCAAAAATGAAGCCATATGGCATAACAAGGTAGCCGCACGCTGGGCCAGCCATACAAGTGGCTGAGGCACCGCCTTGGTCCAGCTCATTAACGGCTCCGCGTCTATCCAGCAAGGAGATAAATGCCAACGAGGATAGCTGCACAGGTGCTGGCAGGCATGCCCAGCCCAACACGAGGAGGCGCCGGGGTTGAATTATGCGCCACCGCGGTTCCATGGCCAGCCGCCCAACGCGGGGCGCATCCACGGCATCCACACTCACCTCTTCCAGATGTTCTTCCGCGTCGCAGAGAAGATCGCGGAACAAATGCGTATAAATATGTGTCTATGTCTCCGCCTCGACCAATCGACCGCTACAAACCCTTCGCCTCCCAAAAGAAATGAATTCAAATAATTAAAAAACAGCAAGCATGAAGACACCAAGAAAGAATGACGCAGCAGGGAGTGTGAGGCATGTCAGTTGCGGTAAATGTTAGCAAGAGCCCTGCATGGACAGTCATTATAAACCCCATTTCCCAAATCCCCAAAAAAAGCGTTAGTCCGTGAAAAAAAAAGGCTTCTCGCTCCTCCTGCATCAGTCTTCCGTCATGCTTCGCAAACAATTCATGGTCCCCTGCCTCACTCCGGCATGGGCTCCGCATGCGTGACAAGAGAGGGGCACACCGGCCAGGCTCGCCTCCTCCCTCGCACAAACAGCGGAGGTAAGAGAGACAACAAATCCCCACAAACATCGTCCCAAATGTGAAGCAAGCGCATGGCAGGCAGCCGGACAAGAGACAAGAAACAGAATAACTAATGGAGGACAGCGGAATTATTTTTCGTTGACAGCCTCTCGGCAGAAAATATAAAAAACAACGCACTGAAATTGAGGCCAGCAGGAAAAAATAAATAAATAAATAAATAAATAAAACGAGAAAAAAGGAGTGCACTGAGAGGCCTCCGTTTTGGTCAATTTGATTGCATGAGGTCCTCTTGCCCCTTTCGCGGGATCTCATTTTGTGTTTTTCTTCATGAGAATCGCACTCAAACAAAACACACGTACGCCCAGAAAGGAAGAAAAAAAGAAAATGAAAGTCACAATTCAACCAAAAAGGACCGAGGGAGAAAAGTAAAGGAAAAACAGTAAGAAAAACACTCAAAAACAGAATGAAATAATTTGCCTTATTATCACCACATCCTTCGCTCGGTCCGCGTGCACACCGCCCCGCAATGCTCCGTCAGCGTCCCCGGAGACTCACGCGCGGAAAAAAGTGACGCCCGCCAAAAAAGAAAAAAAGAATCAACAATGAAAAAGCCAAAACACACACGCAACCCACCAGCATACGATGAAATATAAATAAATCAAACATATCATCAAAAATAAATAAAATAACGGCGCGGCAATACAAAAAAAATTATGGACGTGCCACCTTCATGTCGTTGGCCGGCGTCGTTGTTCGGTTGCCGGCATCCTCTTCCTTTGTCCTCTCCTTCAGACGGCGCCGCTCCTCAAGCACCAATCGACTGAATCGGCGGTAATCCCAGTCAAAATAGGCAGCAGAAAGTATTCCGGTGAAGCTAAGAACCATCAAAAATATCAGGGGCATCATCACACAATTCCGGCCAAGGCAAACACTGCCGCCTTGCTTCTCAGCCTCCCGCGTGTACCACTCGCCGTACAGAAGGCGGTTCAGGAAGATTGTAGAACACACTGATGCAAGGAAAATAAAGTTGTAGTGCTTGGCGGGGTCCTTTGCAAAAACAGTCCGAGTAACCAACACAATGGCGGCTGAGCCAAAACCATTGCCAAGGGCAGCCAATACGTACGGCAGCGGCAGTGCAGCCCTGGGCACCACGAGGAATAAAACGGGTGACAGGATCAAGAACACATCCGTTAAATAGATAGAAACGATAATCGAAACCCTGTCCTCGGCCTTGCGTTTCTGCGACCAGACCTCGAAGTAGCTCATCAGTAGCCGACCCGCCGCACTTCCCACCCCGTTCAGCACTGTGAGAAGCGTTTTGATGGCGTTGTCCACCTCTTCGTCCGCAAGCGCGGCGTAGATGAAGCTGGCGTTGTAGATGATCACAAACGTAGTGCCCCCCATGGAGAAGATGCTCCAGAGGAAAGCCCACAACTTCAGCGTTTTCAGGTTCTGGAGAAAGGTCGTCTGGTACTGCGGCGCAATGTAGTCGACGTCCGTCTCCACCTTCTTCGGAGGACCACCAGCCGCCGCAGGCTCTTTCGCCATCTCATCACCCGCACTCGGTCTCTCCGTCCCACCGCAGTCATCCTCCTCCCGTTGTGTCTCCCTCCTCTCAAGGCACGAAACGGGCAATGCCATCAACGGAAGTGCCACAAGGACAGCAATCAAGATGGACGCAAATATGATGCGCTGCGTCCTCCCCCACCCCAGATACGCAACCAGTGCGCTCTGCAGTGGCAAGTATATAACCAGCAGGACAACAAACGCAATGCCGATCGCGAAGCGAATTGTGGGTGGTTGCTGGCGGAGGTAAACGGATTTGCGTGCCAGTCGTCTCTCCTTTTCCTCGATGCCAAGGTGTTTCTCCTCATAGCCAGTCAGGTGGTACGACGGGAGTGGCACAAGGAAGAAACCCGCAGCTCCAGTCACAAAAAACAGCACCATCAGAAAATAGAAGTAGTGGTCCGGCCTCCCGTCAAAAAAGGCCAGCTGGATGCTTCCCACAATGGCGGAGCCCAGTCCGATGTACGACTTCAAAATGGCCACGACAGGGCCCTTGCTGATCGGGAAATGGCTCATGATCGTCATCATGTATACTACGTCATACAGCGTGCATCCGAGTGTCAGAATGGCGTTGAAAACGCTTAGACGCACCACAGAGCCCTCAATTGTCCCGCGAAATGACAGCGCAAACAGCAGCGCCCCGAGAGGAAACAGCACCATGCTCAGTATGAAAATCGGTTTGGGACCAAAGTGATCAAAAATGAAGCCATATGGCATAAGAAAGTAGCCAACCACCAAACCCACCGTGCTGATGGTCGAGATATCGCGCCCAGTAAGGTCGTAACGCGACTGCATCTCCGGCGCAATGAGATTGAAGGCGTAGCTCAGAGATGAGCAGATACAGCCATAGGATCCAAGCAGCAAAATCGCAAAGCGACGGGGCTCATAGATTGCCTTCTGTGGCCCCGTAGCGAGAACTTCAACAAATTGTTCGCCGGTCATGGTTCACGCCAAGCCGATTGGATGAGTGCTCTTCCAATTGATATAATGGTTGCAGACAGAGTGGCCCCTATTATATCTGTGTCTAAGATATATAGGTATATAGATATGGATAGACACGCGTGTGTGCTTCCCTCCCTTAAAACCCACCGTCTTTCGCATGTCAACACGCAAACCCAAAAAAAGTGAAAGAATAGAAAAGGCGCCTCAAAACGACACACAAATATAAATACATACGCACAAAGGACCGGCCACGGTGTGCCGCACAGTTGGTGGGGCTCGCCCCCTCCCCCGTTCGTTCTTGTAAAAAGTAAAGCAAACACTCCGAAAGAAAAAGGAGGAGAGGCAATGGCAGTAGACAGAGTGAGAAACGTCATCAAGCGCCCACACAAAAGAGGACAAGGGATCTAAAGTTCTCTATCGCGCCACCCTCACGCTCCCTCCAACAAAACAAGAAACAAATGCCAAACGCATATGTTGCTTCACTCCTCACTACCTTTCCGACTGGCTGCATGCGTCCTTTTGACTCTCCGCCCGTGAATGCTGCGTCCACGCCTAAACACACAGCACACAACCGTAATATTATTCCACGTCTAATATACCAATACATATATGCATACATACACACGTAAACACCGACATATACATGCCTTCAGGTTTCGTCTGCAGCAATTTAACATTTAATGAATCCGACGCAAAGAAACAGACAAGTACTACACATCATACACACATCCATTTTATGAAATATTGATGGAGGAACAAAACACACAAGCCCAAATACAAAGAAATAAAAGAGCACGCTTTCAAACGTGCAGCATACAAACAAGTGATGATACCGTGGCGATAAAAGCAAGCGAAGAAATTTAAACGGCAACAAAAGATTTGAAAAGCCACGCTTTCGTCTTAACGCACAAGGACATGCCGCCATGGAAGCAGACGCATGTGCGCCTGTACTGTCGTTGGGATGCCTCAGGTTCCTCGCCATGTGCATGGAAGTAAAAACAAACGCGCACCCAGGCACGGCACGGCACAACATTCCCAAAAATGTGACACGGCAACCAAAAGCAAAAAGGAATGCAGCTTGGATTCCGTGCACTCCGCATCCCCGACGCCTCAGAGGAGATTTGTCCCACACTCATGCACCGGCAAACAGACAAATTCATTAAGAAATATGTGTAAGCCTCCAAAGGTGGCTGTTTTTAAAAGGGCCCCGCAACCGCCGGACTCCCCTCCGCGTGAGGGCTAACAGCGGGGGAGGCGGGACAGAAAAAAATAACTGCCCTCGCTGCACTCCAGCACGGTGTCATCGGAGAAAAAATTCAGTTAAGAAACAAAAAAAGGCGGGAAAGTTCGTCAAGAGACAATATCACCAAGATAAACACCCTCGTCTTCGCACATTCCTCTCCACGGGCCTCCATTATACATCAAAAACATGGTATGTATCCCCGCCGCCGTAGAGAGTCAAAAGAAATGAAACCAAGTAGATACGAGAAAAACAAAGTCAGGCGCTCCTACCCCTCCTGCTGTGTCATTTCGTGCTCACACACCCATGAGATACATACGTGGTGACACCTTCGCACTCTCCTGGCAGCTCTAACCAAATACACACGGGCATAAATTGACACCATGGAAAGAAAATAGAAAGGAAAACAGAAAAAAGAACACATACACACAAGGCGCCTCGTAAATTAAGGGATTTGAAAATAACGTGTGGCAAGCACACCACGTGGATTTCTTTTCCTTCCATTGGTGTTGGGTGCCGCCTCTGCTGCTCCCCTGGTGGTGGTGCCCGCTGTCTTCGCCGTGGTGCCAGGGTCAATTGCCCCGTATTGTCGGGGGAGCCAGGAGCCAGCAACGTTTCACTCACGGGGCCATTGTTGTTCGCGCAGGGCTGACGGCAACAGCCAGCACCCGGGCCTGCCGCGTCTTGCAGGGACACAGCCGTAACGCCATGAGGGCTGGGGGCACGTGTCACCGCAACGCGGGCCATCAAATCTATTTTAAAAAACACAAAACAAAACAAAAGGCTCTGCCGCCACTCTCTCCTCTCGGATCTCACACGCACACACGCGAGGCCAAGAGAAAAAAAACAATGGCAGCAGCAGAGACGGCAGTGTCAAGCGCCCATCTCTCTTGTGATGAGTGAACACGACCGACGCCGTTCTCTTCACATTCATCCTCGTGGAAAACGGCATCGTGTGCCGCAGCACCCACCCTCAAGCAGCCGTTGTCATCAGAGGAGTGTTCTGTAGTCGGTGCACTCCCCTCACAAAAACAGTCCACGTCATCCCTCACAAATAATTCACTCAGGCCCACAAATCCCCGCCTTCTTGCTGCTCCTCAAAGAGGCGACGCCGCTCATCCAACACCTGACGATTAAATTTCACGTACTCCCAGTGCACATAGGCGTTGGATATGAAGGCCGTCACGTTGAATCCAAGCATCACAAGCAACGGGAGCTGCACACAAGCACGATCCAAACAAACATCAACACCCCGCCTTCTTGCCTCCCGCGTGTACCACTCGCCGTACAGAAGGCGGTTAAGCAGCACGGAGGAACACGTGGTGGCAAAGAAGCAGAAGTTGTAGTGGAGTCCAGGATCCTTCGCATAGATGGTATTAATTACGAGAATTGTTACCGCTGCAATAAATCCATTGCCCAGTGCCCCAATAACGTACGGAATCGGCAAAATATCCTTATTGCTGATTGTGAGAAAAAGGACTGCCATCACGATGACGGAAATGGTTGGTAGAAAAAGTGACAACGTAATGGGAATACGATCTTCCGCCTTCCTTTTCTGCGTCCAAACCTCAAGGGCGCTCATTAATAAGCGACCCGCCGCACTTCCCACCCCGTTCAGCACCGTTAGTAAAGTATTAAGGGAATTGTCGACGTCCTCCCCAGACATGGCGGCAAAAATAAAACGAGAGTTGGTTAGTACGACAAACTCTGTACCAAGTGTGCAGAACAACGACCAAAAGATGGCCCAAAGCTTCACCGTGCAAAGACTCTGTAGGAACCGTGTCTGATATTGCGGCGCAACGTAGTCCATCTCCAACGTCGGTAAAATTGCTGTTCCATCGTTATCTGACACTGGTTCTTCAACGGGAGTCACGGCGTCGCAAGAAGAAGAGCGCCAAATTTTCCAGCTTCGGTCCAGAAAATTGAACGGCATGGCGACAATGGGGTAAATGCCCAGAGAGACAATTGTCACAATGGCAAACGCATTTCGATACCCCCATGACAAATTCAAGTACGCAATCAACGCACTCTGTAACGGAAGAAACAAAATAAGAAAAACGACAATCACAAATCCAATGGCAAAACGCATGGATGGCGGTTGCTGCTTTAAATATATGGCCTTCGTCATGATGCGTTTTTCGATCTCCGCGTCTGTCAAACGGCTTCGCTCGTAATCCGTCAATAAATAGGGAGGCTGGCGTATCAGTATTAAAGCTAAGACACCAATAACACCACCAAAACCCATTAAAAAGAAGAAGTAGTTTGTTGGACTACCCTCAAAATAGGCCAACTGAATCGCCCCGATAATTGCGGATCCCAGCCCAATGTATGTCTTCATTACAGCCACAACTACGCCCTTTCTCGTTGGAAATAAACCGAGAACCGTTACGACGCATGCAAGGTCATAAACGCCCGTGCCAAAGTTAAAAATACCGTTGAATATGCAAAGCCGCAACACACTGGCAGCAACGGTCCCATTGAATGTCAGCGCCATGAGCAACGAGCCCACAGTGATCAATACGAGTCCAATCACAAACACGGGCGTCACACCAAGGTAGTCGTAAACAAAAGCATATGGTATGCCAAAGTAGGCAAAGACAATACCCACTGTGCTTATTGTTGACATATCTGCCTGAGAAAGTTCATAAGCCTTCTGCAGATCACCACTGAATATATTGAACCCATAAGAGAGAGACACGCAGAGACAGCCATAGGCACCTGCCACAAGCATGCCAAATCGTTTCGGCTCACTGATCCGTTGAGTTTCACGGGGAAGTTCGCCATTGACTCGTAATTCCTCTTCCCCCATCTATTGTGGTCGTGTCCCGTAAGTATTTGTATGTATTTATTTATTTATATATCTTGGAAGAGTTTCAATTCCCTCGTTAACTCAAAGCCTAATTTCTAATTATTATTTTTTTTTTTTTTTTTGTTTTTGTTTTTGTTTTTGTTTTGTTTTTTTTTTTTTGTTTTTTTCCTTTTCAGTGGCGGTCCGTGTAAGATCCAAATGCTGTGGTGAGTGCGAGAATAAATAAAAATTTATAAAAAGTTTAAAGGTGAGGGGCAAAAAATAAATAAATAAATAATAATAATAGAGGCGCATGAAGTGAGATGAGCAAAAGGAAAACAGAAGGAGAGAAAACCATAAGGAACGAATTGACAGTGTTGCTTGTGGCATGGGCCCTTCCGCCTGTCTCTTGCCCGTCAGATAGCCGACATGAGAACACCACACAACTCCTTCAGTATCGCCGTGGCCGTCGCACCGGAGCTGTCATCGACGGTTTTTTCCTTCTGCTTCTCCATCTCTCGTAGGCATTCGGGCAGCAAGACGTCTGACACAGGAGCGTAACAAAACACACCCAAAGGAGCTAGAAATCGCAACCAGCGACGAACACGCCACACAAAACGACCCACAACTGCTGCTTTTAGTTCGCTTTTTGCCTCATGCAAAAGCCACCGCTGCAACGCGTAACACTGACGATATAAAAACACAGACATAATAACGCAGCATACGTTGCACACCATCAATGAACATGGCGAAGAGGAAGAAAAGGCAGAAAAAAACCCCAAGAAAGACTTCATGTGCGGAGGAATCAAAAGCATTAGGCGTGTCTTGTTCCTTGAAAGTTGTCCGTCCGACGTCGCAGTAAACGTCGAAGCCGGTGCCGAGGAATGAACCAAAGTAGACGGCTGAACGATTTCCTCCGTCGCAAAATCAATCAATGCGTTTCGAAGCAACGAAGCGGCCAGAGAAATATCTGAACTTGTGGGAACCATCCGTGTCTGGCTCTTGAACTTCACAGTGTCCTTTCTGCCGGTGTCCGCGGTTTGGGGATTCTGCCCGTCGGCGCGTGGACGCTTAAGTCGCAGCGTCAGACGCGGGCCATCTTCTCGTTTCTGTGATCCCTCTCCTAACGTCGCCACGGTCGTATGGACTGGTGGTACAGAAGTGCCTCGTCCGTGGGCGACCGCCAGTGGAACGTCGCTAAAGGCAAAGCTGTTCAGCAAAATCCGCAGTCGGGCGTCAAGCTCCGCCGTCTGTCTCTCACGCGTGTCCACCTCGCTCGGTGCCAGCATTGTTTCCAGGTGGCGCCAGACACGTTCTGCGATGTACAGCTGCGCAGCGGGTATTCTAAGCGCCAACGCAGCAAGAAACGCCGAAATACTGCAAATTCCCTCGTCACCACCCCATTGGGCCCCTTCGCTCAGCTCCCCGTTTAGGTCCTCAAAGGAAGGCACAAAAAGTGTTACATCCGGGTGGTCCAGAGCGCTACGCACATACTGCGAGGCCATGCTGTGGCCATGGTAGAGCGAAAGAAGCAACGCATACGCAGCTTGAACTACAGCAGCTCGCCCACGCTGCGGTTCCTCTTGAGAACCATATGCCTCGTCTTTTTCCACCAAACGCAATCCATGAATCAATGTGCGACGCCACAGAGGATCCATCTCGTCCGTCGTCAGTGAGAAAACCGACGATGATTTTGATGATACAAGTGGCGCCACCAAAAAGGAAGAAGTTTCCTTCCTCAGTTCCGCATTTCCTGAAAGTGCCTCCATCCGCCCCTTATCATAATCATGCTTGCTCTCGCTCAACCACAAACACAGCAATGCATGCGTCAAAAACGTTGAAGCTCCCTCAAAGTTCGCCAACAACTTCGCCTCTGGCTCGGTGTCGCCCACAGTACCGGTGAGGGGATGCACCAACGCACGCAGTGCTGACGGCCAAAAATTAGCACAGGCCCCCTGGCTCAGTAGCCTGTGCATTGGGTCAGCGGCGGCGTCGGCATCTGGAGCAAAAAAAAAAATTTGTCGCCACAAATCGCGCCACGTCTGTGGCACTGACGGTCCCACTATCGTCGTTCGCAGAAGTTGCAGCGTGCGTGCAGGATAATGCAGCGTCAAGTACGTGGCAAGACCCGGAGGAAGTTCTCGAAGAGACCATGAATGCGGCAGTGACGCAGCATTTGAAGAATTCCACGACTGAAGCAGCGCAGCCAACAACTGTTCCGCGTCTTCTCCATGAAAATCTACAGGCGGTTGGTTCCTTTCCATTTCCCCGCTCTTCCTCAAGAGAGAGAGAAATGGCAAAGAGCACTTTTTCCGTCGTGACAGCATTGTTGTATTTTCATTATCGTCAATCCTCGCCATCCGTTCGGCGGGTCTGATGTAAAGCTCGTGACTCTGCCGCACAATAGCAGTAGTGCTGTACGGCGGGCTGAGCTCTTTAAAAAGAAACTGACGGCAGACGTCGTGTTGGAGGCCGCCTGCAGAAATGAGCTGCAACGTCAAAGCACCCCTTTCCATGGCAGACATATGAGGCAAAGCCACACGTGCCGTTTTCTGCACTATAAAGGAGAGAACGGATTCAATTAGAGTCCCCGCTGGTCCGTCTTCTGCTGCACAGACCGCACAGAGCTCGAGAACAGTGTCCATTCTCCCAGCCAGTGAACGCCGCCGCCCCCAAACCCCCTCCCCCCCTCTCCCTTTTGCACTTCGCCTTCACCATTGAGGAGCCATTTCGATAAAAATAAAAATAAAAATAAAAAATAAAAGTCACATGAAAAGAAAAAAAAAGTACACCGAAAACACGTCAATATTTATATCCATGCATGAGATACGGCAGCACAAATTTATGTATTTATTTGTACATTCACAACAGGATTCACAGGGCAAAAAAAAAAAAAAAGTAAAATAAAAAAAAAAATAAAATTAAATAATAAATAAATAAATTCATACTATTATAGAACCCAACATTTTTTTTTTTTTTCTTTCACATTGATGTCATGTCGCATCCAATCCCCACACCGTATCCGTTTGCAAATACATGCGTAATAAAATGCTGCTTTGGTATTCCATGCGATTTACATCTAAGTAATATAATCCTCTCTGCGTCCTGCGGAATAAATACAACAAACCGTAAGTAAACCAAAAAAAAAAAAAAAAAAAAACAAAAGAAAGAAAGAAGAAAACAAAAAACACCAAACAAAAACGAAAAAAAAAAAAAACAAAAGAAAAAAAAAAAAAATAAAAATTTGGCTCAATTTATCCCCTATAAAATCCCAACATGTCCCCGTACGGTATTATCTGTTAACTCCGAAAAAACATCGCACCAAGACAAGCCGATAACAATAACAATTAGTTGGTGTTTCTTCATTTACCCTTTCCTACAACATTATCGTAAATTACGAAGATATTCCATCAGCAGTGCTGGACCAAAGCCAGTGGCCTTGTCATTTTCAAATGCGGGAAAGGCCATATCCACGTGGATGTGCTTGCCTTTGAAGTCAGGGCTGAGGTGATTAGCGACAAAGTGTCCTGCACACGAGACACTGGCGTTGTTTACCTGCTTCACTGAATTGCGCATATCAGCAACGGGGCTCCTGAACTCTGTTACATGATACTCCGGACAGTACAGCACGGGGAAGCACGTCTCGCCGGAAACCCTGCCGGCCTTCAAGAAGGACAATTCTTCTTCTTCATCGTTTACAAATATGCCCGCGTGCCTGTGGCCGGTGGCAATGCCCTGCGCACCCGTTAAAGTAGCCATGTCGACAAGAACATCCGGCTTAAAGGAAATCTCATGTGTTGCGTGAAAAACTCCGTCCCCGAGTACAAGGCGACCCTCAGCGTCGGTGTTATTTACTTCCACAGTCTTTCCCGACTTCAATGTCAAAATGTCATCATTGCGGTACGCATCGGGTCCAATCGCATTCTCAGCCAGGCACAATGTACAACTCAATTCGATTGGCATCTGCAGACGCACAGCAGTGAGGAAACCACAAAAGACTGCCGCAGCACCCCCCATGTCGCGTTTCATCCCCGTCATAAAATTGGTTGGCTTCAGCGACAAACCACCTGAGTCATACACGATGCCCTTACCAACCAGTGCGACCTTTTTTCTCGTCTCGTCCTTTGGTTTATATGAAAGCGTTACAAGCCGCGGTGCTTCTGCCGCACATTTTCCCACAGAATAAATACCGCCATAACCTCGTTCGCGTAGTTCCTCGCCACAAATGACATCCACAGCGCATCCCAGCTCCTTGGCGTAACTCTGTGCAACCTCTGCAAAGGTGGCAGTGTTTAACAGATTGGTCGGTGCATCCACAAGACGTTGGCAAAGCTGTGTCGAAGTGGCGACAACAACCAATTCGCTTGGTGATGGATTAGGGGCTGTCGGGAAGACCACAGTGAGACGAACACAGTTGTCACAGTACCCTCTCGCGGCCAGACCCTCCTTTGCAGTAAAGTTACGTTTTGCGCTGCGCGCGGCTGCCACTGCAATTGCGAGAGCCGCGGTTGAGCAGACAAATACGTCGACTTTTGTTTCGGGTCCTTTTATTTCCTCAAGAGCCGCAGAAAGAAGGGATACAACCACATCGGGTCGGGCAGAACAGTTTGTGCGGGAAGCCTCAGAGGGCACCTCGCCAACCAACACACGCACAAACCTCTCATTTGCCTCATTCTTCACGCCCTCCGCAAGTACCGCGTATGTTTCACCCTTTTTCACGCGTTGAATGGCCTCAGCGACGGCAGGGCAATAAAATGGAAGCTCTTTCAGCGCATCCTCCCGCAGTTGGGCATGTGTGCCGAGAATGACGACAAAAGTTGATGCAAGGCCCGCTGTGTGTGTCTTTTTGTATGCGTCAACGTCAGTAAATTCAACGTTTGTTTTGAAGTTGACGCATGATCGCACAAACTCCGACGCCCCTGAATCTGTAGCAGGAGGTCTGTTCATTTATGTATTATTGTTCCTTCTTTACCCTTCCCTTTCCTTCACGTTACAAGGGCTCCTGTAACCACACCGTCAGTGCTTCACGATAAAGTACACTGCACCACACGTGTGGGCGCCACCACAACAAAAACGGAAAAGGAAGAAGAAAAAAAAAAGGAAAAGTAACACAACAACAAAAAATAAAATAAAATAATAATAATAATAACGAAGAAACAACGTTTCAACTCATCCAAGCCCACAAGCGCACATCACCATTATCCCCCTCCCATTGGCAACAAAAAAAAAAAAAAAAAAAAAAAAATTTGTTCGCCCCACAAGACAAAGAACAATGTGAACAGACAATACACGACGCAGGGTGTCATGTTAACTGCCTGCAGCCAATCTTTTTTTTTTTTTTTTCCTTTTCTCTCACACATGCGTTGGAAGACTATTCCCTCCTACTGACACCGTTGTTGCTCATCATCACATTTCTTCCAGTTACCCTCCCTCCCATTTCTCCGAGGTTGAAAATGTGAAGAGAGAACACAAACACAGGGAGCGAATAATAATAATAAAGAGAGAAACAGACAGAAAGACACGGAGAGAGAAAGAGACAAAACAACAAATATATATGTATGTATATTGATATATATATATATATATATATATATATATTTGAGATGACAAGGAGTAAATGACACCGCACAACATTTGGCCACCACCAACACCACCGCCGCCCCCCTACTGATCCCTGCACCCGGAGGAAGGGAGGGCGGAGGGGAAGGGAATAAACAAACAAACAAGAACGGTATCAAAAAAAAAAAAAAAATCAATCTTTTCTTCTTTTTTTTTTTTTTCTTTTTGTCTCTTTTTTCTTTGGGGAAAACAATAACAATAAGCACATTAAAACTGATCCTTTCCCCTTGGCCCGTTTTTTTTCTTCTTTTTTTAGGGGAAAAAAAAAAGGGAAAAAAAAAAAAAATAATAAAGGTAAAAGTAAAAATAAAAAAGAGAGAAACAGACAGAAAGACACGGAGAGAGAAAGAGACAAAACAACAAATATATATGTATATGCATATATGTATGTATGTATATATTGATATATATATATATTAATATATATTTGAGATGGCAAGGAGTAAACGACACCGCACAGACATTTCTGGCCACCACCGCCGCCCCCCCTACTGATCCTGCACCCGGAGGAAGGGAGGGCGGAGGGGAAGGGAATAAACAAACAAACAAAAACGGTATCAAAAAAAAAAAAAATCAATCTTTTCTTCTTTTCTTTTCTTTTTTCATGTCTCTTTTTTTTTGTGTGTGTGTGTTTCTTTGGGTGAAAACAATAACAATAAGCACATTAAAACTGATTCGCCACCACTACCCTTCCCCACCCTCCTTTGGACATGGGCGTACGTCCTCCCGTGCAGACGCACATGTTTTTTTTTTTTGTTTTTTTATTTTCTTTTCGTTTAAGGAGGAGGGGGAAAAGAAAGAAAGGGAGGAAAGAAGCGCCAAAGAAAAAAGAGATTAACAAAAAATGTGTAAAATGAAAAACAGACAAAAAAAAACAAATCTGCGGAGAGCCGGTTGGCACAAATCAACAAAGACACACGCAGGCACCCCCCCCCCCACACACACACACACACTCCCACACATATATATATATTTTTATATATATATTTAATGCATCTGCCCCACCCAGTGGAGTTTATTACAAAAGTACCCACAAAACAAAACAAGAAAAAACAAGAAAAAGGCAGCAAGACGCATGGATAAATACAATGAGCCCACCACTAACAGAACAGGAGCAATGGTAAAAAAAAAAAAAAAGGATTTCAACGTCGCAACGCCTTAAAAAAGACGATAATGGAAGAAAAATAAAAGATGGAAAAAAAAGAAGCAATAACAGTTGATGCTGCAGTCTCTTCTTGAAGGAAAACAAGCAGCAGCCGCCCCCCACCCCGTCCCCCCGGCTGCGTAGAATGTGTTATTATTATCATTTTTTTCTTTTCCTTTTTTGCCGTCTCTTCTTTGCCTGATTACATGTGAGTTATTCACTTCTCACATGACCCAACATGCCCACATGATTATATAAATACACATTTCCGTGTGGATTTCTTCTTTTTTTTTTTTTTTGTTTGTACAATGAGACGGAAAGCGAAATCAAATTTGAGTGCTTTCCGTATTGTTTCCCAACACAAACGGTGAGGCACGGAAGTGCCATCGTTCAACGCACTCCTTTTTTTCCCACATCCCCAATTTGATTTTCTTTTTCCGTCTTTCATGCCGGCTTCTCACCGCACCACTTCTCAGCCTCAACCCGTCACAATGCGTGTGTCCCCCCCCGCTGCGTCACTCGCAGCCAAACGACACGGAAATATTCCTTCACGCGGTGAAGCACAACAACAATAATAATAAAAATTTAAAAAATTTTTTAAGACAAGTCGTGACTCTGCATTTCGCCCACGCACCCCATTCAATCCGCGTCCACCGCCCCATTTCCTTCCGGTTCTGTCATTTCTTCTAACGTCCCGGCACGCCGCCAGTGACGGGGGAGGGGGGCCGCGTAACACACACACAAAACAAAAAAAAAGAGGGAAAAGGAGGAAGATGAAGGGGAGAATTAAAAAAGAAAAAGAAAAAAAGACCGATACTACATGTAACAAGCGCAATGCCGCCGCACAAATAAGACATGTGCACCCACCACCACCACCAAAAAAAAAAAAAATGAAAAAAAAAAAAAATTTATTGGGAGACGTGAAAAAATTATTCTCCGACGGGTCAGGGCAGCGAGGACAAGAATATATAAAAAGTGAAAAGAAAAAACCCACTTTTTCTTTTCTTTTTTTTTTTTTCGGTTTTGTTGTCATCCATTTCTAGTCGTTTTGTTTCTCAACCTTCTTTTTTTCCCTCCCCGCTCCCTTGTTGTTGCTGCCGCTGCTGCCTCCTCGCCTGTCATGCTCGGTGGCAAGAAATTCCCGGCGGGGAATGTGGCAACAGGCATCACATTATTACCCAACACCTCTTCCCCTCCCGCAAACACATTTCAACAAAGAAGAAGAAAACTGCGAAAATGAAGCGCGGTGTCGCAAAACAACAAAAACGAAAAAAAACTTACATAAATGTTTTTAATCCCCCATCCCCTTCAAAAAAAAAAAGGGAAAATAATCCTCTTTTCATACCGTCCACTCTCTATTCAACCGACACTCAGTGCGGTCGAACTGAGATCCAGAAGTGACCCTACTTCAAACACGTTCTATGGCGCAGCTTCATGCGATTACGTTCCATCGTGGCGATCGGCGCCACCTCGTCAAATGATGGCGGGGCCGGAAGAGACGTCACGGACGCCGCGTTCACACTCCGCGACAGCTCCACCACCAAAGGCATGCACGGCAGCCCGTCCGTCTGAAAGTGGCGTATCTGCTGCGGCAGCCGTCGCACACTCTCGCAGTACTCCTTTAGTCGCAGGTACTGCTCCATGTTCTCGGCGTACCAAAAACCATGACGGTCCATCAACACACGACAGCGCAGTTTGTGGATCAGATGCCAAACGTCGTTTGTGCGAATAAGAGCGATAAACGACGTCTCGGAGCGTGGCTCAATACCCACAACGGTAGCAATATCAGGTCCACATGTCGCCTCAACCACACGGTTTAGGACAATAATGGTGCGATCCCGCAATTCACAAGGAAACATTTGAATAAAGATCGGTATTAATTGGCATTTATTCAATGTCCGTTGTTTGTTTATACCAGAGAGTAAGGCCATGTTCATACTTTCTGTGCTTGTCGTGATAGAGCCTCCGCGGTTTTGTAATATTTCATTGGTAATTAAGACGGAAATGTACGGCACGTATCGTAGTATATTTTGTAGTTGCCCGTGAACATTGATGGATTTGCGAGATACGTTTACGGAAGGCTGTTTTTTAGTTATTTTAGAATTATTTGAGGCTTCCACCCCAAATGCTGACTGTTGTGGAGTGGGGCAAATAAAAGTGTTTCGTTGAATGGGAGTTTTTTGGCCCATTTGCATGCCTTCATTTTTGTGCCCCACCGCCGGATTGCGATTATTATGATAAAGACCAAGATCATTTCGGTTGCTGCTGTGGTTCCTGCCGCAGTCAACACAATCACCGTCAAAAAGGAAAGAAATATCTTGCGGGGTACTCGTATTGCTTTTGTTCAAATTCACGGGAAACTGTCCCATTGCAGTTGGTAGGTTGGTCGCCCCATGGTTTCTTGGTAAAGTCGGTGGCGTTTGACAAGAAGCATCTGCAGTATGGCATTTAGACGATAAAACACCGTCCGTATTTAGAGGGTCGCTATCAGAGGGTGAAAAACTTAATTTCCGCCCGGTCCAACCAGCATTAACAACCGAAACTGAAAGATTGGCATTGGGCTCGGCAAACGGAGCCTGCTGCCACGGTATAATGACGTCTCGCTGCCCAACAGGGCCAGTGCACGCAATGTCACCACCTGGTTTGGAAGGGTTAACGCCAACAATATTAATGGCAGGTTGATTCTTTGCTTCCTCGCATGGAAAATGGATAATCGCACATTCGGTCGCAGCAGCTGCCGATACATCATCCCCGGTCGAATCACGCTCCAAATTACGCACCGTATCCGCGCCGCCTGTGTTGTTGGAAATTGATGCTAAGAGAGAGTTGGTACTTTCCATTCTGACGTGAGGAAATGCCGACACACCGACCATAGGCGACGTGCTTCGGTCCAAACAAGCCATCGGTACGGAAGGCCCATCAAACAGACCTTCGGTTACAAATTCGCTTGGGTCTAGAAAATCAAAGGCGTCCGTGCATATTAAAGGGAGAAGGCATCGGCTAGAATCAACACGCTCCTGTTCACTTGGCGTCGCCCCCTCAAATGGAAAGAAGTCATTCCATCGCGTGCTGGAATCAACACCACCACTGCCCTCGGCAAAAGTTAGGAAGGGAAATGAACATGGGAGGGTGCCGATATCAGTTTCCTCGTTCAATGAAGTCATCAGAGCTTGTCACTAATGTTTACCACTTTTTATCTCTCGCTTTGCGTGAGTACGTATATAGTATATGTATATAATATTATATATATACTATACACTATATGTTTTATTTTCCCCCTCCCCCCCACCCTTCTTCTTCTTCTTCTTCTGTGCACGTCTCCGTGTATGTATGTGTGTCTCCCTCGACGTTATTTTTCGTTCTTTCTTTCCTTCTCTTAATTTCCCTTATTTTTCTCCTTGATGCCTTTTATCAGATGATTCCCCCTTTTAAGAAATAATAATAATTAAATCATTGTGTCCATATAAAGGGGAAAAAAATAAATAAATAAATAAATAAACGAAAAAAAAAAAAAAGGTTTGACGGATTGCCCCCGCCCACAACTGTGTGTGTGTGTGTGGGTCCGTTGCGTGGAAGACATGTGCCTCGTATATATGAATATATATATTTGCGCACATGTATTTGTATGTGTTTTCACACAAAATTGCGCATGCATGCGTAAATGAGCACCATTAATTAATAAAAAATGAGCAAATTTTTCTGTGTGACAAAAGTCGCTTTAAGAGACGTCGGATAGACGCCGCAGCAGAAATCCCGCCTCTTCCCGGTTCACTGACTCTTTCGTAGTAGCCATTGACAGAACAGACAATTTGTTCATTTATTTATTCTTTTCTTTTTTTTTTAATTTTTCCTCTCCGCCTCGCCTCACGTATTTTACCGCCGCCCGTTCCATTCAATTTATTCCATGCGTTATATTTTTTCTCCCCTCCACCCGCTCGTCCTTCTTCCTCTCAGTTTGCATCCGTTGCTGTGCCCCTCCTCTCCATTCCCTCCTCCTCTCCCCCACGCCTTCCACCGCCGCCGTGCCCACAGCAGAAGGCCAAATGGGGGCAGGCAAACACAAACAAACTTGGCGGAGGACGCATCAATAATTAATTATTATTATTACCATTAAAAAAAAAAAGAAAAAAAAATTGATGCAGACGGCGTGGGATCGCCGCGGTGTTTCAAAATTCAAACCAAAACACACGCGAGACAGAAAATCAGGCAGGCATGTAAACACAGAGAGAGAGAGAACAGCCGCAGCGACGTGTGTGCATCGTGCAAATGCACATGTCACTTGCCCCGGGCCTCCTTTAGAGAGGCGCAAAGGGCGAAAAAAAAAAAAAGAGAGAAAAAGAAGGTAAACATATGACCATTAACAACTAACAGGTGATAATGATGGAAGGAGGCAAATGATTCGGTGAAGACAAATAAAAAAAAAAAAAAGAAGGGCAGAAGGGGAAGAGACACGTCCATCGCTCACTTTATCATGTCTCCGCAATGTTTATTCTCGACACACACACACACACACAGAGAGAGAGAGAGAGAGAGAAATATTTATATATTTATTTAGATATACGCGTAAATTGGCTGTAATTTCCACTTCACTTTCGTTCCACGGTCGCTCTTCAATACCCCACTGCGGCCACTTCCCACGCACAGACACAAAAAAAGAAATTTCCAAGAGAAACTCAGGCGTAGCCAAAAAAAAAAAAAAAAATTTGTCTTTAAAACACGCAGAGGGAAAAAAAAAAAAAAACAAATAATAAACGGACGGACGGGCAGGCAAACGAACCAACAGCCCAGTCCTCCTAAAACGCCTTCCTCTCTTTGTTCCCAGTCACACACGCACACAGAGAGAGAGAAAGGGAGGGAGAAAATGGCGTGGCTTTCTACCAAACTTGGGTGGGGTGCACAACGTGACTGCCGCTCGCAACTCCCCTTCCCCCCACAAACAAAATACTCGCGAATTATTGCCGCCACACGCACTGTTTTCCCTCCCACCCCTTCACTCTTCTCTTCTCTCCTCTTCTCTCACTCATCCAATCATTCATTTGTTATTTCTATTTGTTTATCACTGTGTTGCGGTTGCCTCTGCCTGTCAATGTCACCACGCCTGAGAAACCCCGCCCTCCTCCCCCAAAAAAAAAATATTTCTTCTTTGAAAAGATCGTCGCACTCTTTTCTTTTGTTTTCTTTTCCTTCCAAATTTTATTCCTTTTTTTTTTTCCTTTTTTATTATTATTATTTTTTAATTTTTTTACACTTCCTTCTGCTGCCTGTTCCCGTCAGCCGCACCAGCAGGCGGCGCAGGCAGCGCCAACAGCACAACGTAACAAAACAAAAGAGCGGGGGATCCAAATCTAAAGAAAAAAAAAAAATAGACAAATAGGCAAAAGAAGAAAGAAGAAAGAAAAAAAAAAGGCAGGAGGAGTGCTCTCCTTTCACAGGGTTCCACGTGTCAACACGTTACTCCGCTTCATTGTTTTCGCCGTCTTCCCCTCCACGGCCGCAGAGATGTTCGGAATTTGTTAGTTGGAGAAAACGTGAGCAAACAAAAAAAGGAAAAAAGAAAAGAAGATAGCGGCAATGGGGAAGAGAGAAAAAAAAAAATTGCTCCCTCCACGCATGCTACTTTGCCCGGCGCTTGTGGCTGCATTGCACTGCGTTCTTCGAATTGTCCAATTGTCACACCACCCAACTTTCCCGCACTCCACCTGCCGTTCGTTTGTTCTGCCGTTTTTTTTTCCCCCCTTGTTTTGTGCCCGCGCGTGAAACTTACCCCTCTATTCACACCTCCGGGTGTAACCCTACAAACCTTCTAGCATCGCGGTTACGTTCCATCGTGGCGATCGGCGCCACCTCGTCAAATGATGGCGGGGCCGGAAGAGACGTCACGGACGCCGCGTTCACACTCCGCGACAGCTCCACCACCAAAGGCATGCACGGCAGCCCGTCCGTCTGAAAGTGGCGTATCTGCTGCGGCAGCCGTCGTACACTCTCGCAGTACTCCTTTAGCCGCAGGTACTGCTCCATGTTCTCGGCGTACCAAAAACCATGACGGTCCATCAACACACGACAGCGCAGTTTGTGGATCAGATGCCAAACGTCGTTTGTGCGAATAAGAGCGATAAACGACGTCTCGGAGCGTGGCTCAATACCCACAACGGTGGCAATATCAGGTCCACATGTCGCCTCAACCACGCGGTTTAGGACAATAATGGTGCGATCCCTCAATTCACAAGGAAACATTTGGATAAAGATCGGTATTAATTGGCATTTATCGAATGTCCGTTGTTTGGTTATATCAGAGAGTAAGGCCATGTTCATACTTCCTGTGCTTGTCGTGATAGACCCCCGCGGTTTTGTAATATTTCATGATAAAACTGAAATGTACGGCACGTATCGTAGTATATTTTGTAGTTGCCCGTGAACATTGATGGATTTGCGAGATACATTTACGGAAGGCTGTTTTTTAGTTATTTTAGAATTATTTGAAGCTTCCACCTCAAATGCTGACTGTTGTGGAGTGGGGCAAATAAAAGTGTTTCGTTGAATGGGAATTTTTTGGCCCATTTGCATGCCTTCATTTTTGTGCCCCACCGCCGGATTGCGATTATTATGATAAAGACCAAGATCATTTCGGTTGCTGCTGTGGTTCCTGCCGCAGTCAACACAATCACCGTCAAAAAGGAAAGAAATATCTTGCGGCGTACTCGTATTGCTTTTGTTCAAATTCACGGGAAACTGTCCCATTGCAGTTGGTAGGTTGGTCGCCTCATGGTTTCTTGGTAAAGTCGGTGGCGTTGGACAAGAAGCATCTGCAGTATGGCGTTTATACGATAAGACAGCATCCGTATTTAGAGGGTCGCTATCAGAAGGAGAAAAACTTAATTTCCGCCCGGTCCAACCAGCATTAGCAACCGAAACTGAAAGATTGGCATTGGTCTCTGCAAACGGAGCCTGCTGCCACGGTATCATGACTTCTCGCCGCCCAACAGGGCCAGTGCACGCAATGTCACCACCTGGTTTGAAAGAGTTAGCGCCAGCAATATTAATGGCAGGTTGATTCTTTGCTTGCTCGCATGAAAAATTGATAATCGCACATTCGGTCGCAGGAGCTGCCGATACATCATCCCCGGTCGAATCACGCTCCACATTACGCACCGTATCCGCGCCGCTTGTGTTGTGGAAATTGTTGCTAAGAGAGAGTTGGTACTTTCCATTCTGACGTGAGGAAATGCCGACACACCGGCTATAGGCGACGTGCTTCGGTCCAAACAAGCCATCGGTACGGAAGGCCCATCAAACAGACCTTCGGTTACAAATTCGCTTGGGTCTGGAAAATCAAAGGCGTCCGTGCATATTAAAGGGAGAAGGCATCGGCTAGAATCAACACGCTCCTGTTCAATTGGCGTCGCCCCCCCAAACGTAAAGAAGTCATTCCATCGCGTGCTGAAATCAACACCACCACTACCCTCGGCAAAAGTTAGTAAGGGAAATGAACATGGGAGGGTGCCGATATCAGTTCCTCGTTCAATGAAGTCATCAGAGATTGACTAATGTTTACCAATTTTTATCTCGCTTTGCGTGAGTACGTATATAGTATATATATATATAATATATATATTATATTATATGTTTATTTTTCCCCCCCCCCTCTTCTTCTTTTCTTCTTCTGGGATTCTTCCTTTCCCCTTATTTTTCTCTTGATGCCTTTTATCAGATGATTCCCCCTTTAAGAAATAATAATAATAAAATCATTGTGTCCATTTAAAGGGGAAAATATAAAAAAGAAAAAAAGAAAAAAGAAAAGTTTGACGGATTGCCCCTGCCCACAGTTGTGTGTGGGTCCGTTGCGTGGAAGACATATGCCTCATATATATATATAATATATAATATATGCGCACATGTATTTGTATGTGTTTTCAGACAAAATTGCGCATGCATGCGTAAATGAGCACCATTAATTAATAAAAAATGAGCAAATTTTTCTGTGTGACAAAAGTCGCTTTAAGAGACGTCGGATAGACGCCGCAGCAGACATCCCGCCTCTTCCCGGTTCACTGACACTTTCATAGTAGCCATTGACAGAACAGACAATTTGTTCATTTATTTATTCTTGTCTTTTTTTTTTGTTAAATTTCTTTTTTCTTTTTTTTTCTCTCCGCCTCGCCTCACGTATTTTTTACCGCCGCCCGTTCCATTCAATTTATTCCATGCGTTATATTTTTTCCCCTCCCCTCCCCTCCACCCGCTCGTCCTTCTTTCTCTCAGTTTGCATCCGTTGCTGTGCCCCTCCTCTCCATCCCCTCCTTCTCTCCCCCACGCCTTCCACCGCCGCCGTGCCCACAGCAGAACCAAATGGGCGCAACAATCATAAAATAATAATTTATCATAAAAAAAAAAAAAAAATTTTTTTTGTTGTTGTTCTTTTTGTTGTGTGTGTGTGTGCGTCTGCAACTCCATGTGCCTCTCCTTTTTTTTCTTTTTCATTTATTTATTTTATTTTGTTTCTTTTGTGTGTAAAGGGAAAGGGGATGTGGAGGTTCCTTCGCGAAATTGCCCGCATTTTTCCCCCCACAACCCTCTCCCCCCCTCTCCCCAACACACACACACACATCCATAAATACATCCGTCTCTCTCTCTCTCTCTGGCACAAGCAGAAACATACATGCGAACAGGCAGGCAGGCATTCCATGTTAATTAAATAATGAAATAAAATCTATTACTTATCAACGTCTTCTCAAAGAAATCACGTCGTCCACTCAATTTTTTCTTCGCCACTCCGCCGTTGTTTTTTTTTTGTTTTTGTTGTTTTCTTTTTTTTTTTTTCCGGCCTTTCGTTTCTTTGCTCAATTTATTTATTTATTTTTTCTCTTCTTTTCCTTTTCTTCTTGGCGCCTGCATTGCGCCGCACATGCGGTCGGAGGCCAAAAATATGTTCCATCCGCATCGACGAAAACAAAAAAAAAAGAAGGGCGATTTAATGCGGCAGGATCGCAAGACGAAAATAAAAATGAAACAAAAAAAAAAAAAAAAAAAATTGGGGTGGCGGGGGGTAAAAATACTCTTCTTCCTTTTCCCCCTCCCTTCCCCCTTTTGGTCGTCCCTCTCCTCCGAACACAAAATAAACAAAAAAAAAAAAGAAAGAAGGGCAGAAGAGAGAGGGGGAAACGCAAAAAAGACAAAAAAAAAAAAGAGACGATTTATTTAAAGTGCAAACAAAACAAAAAAAAATGAAAAAAAAAGAAACGGACTTCCCGCACGCGTCTTTTGATTATTTTGCCCACTCCCTTCTTCCCCTTCCCCTCCCCTTCTTTTTCCTTTTCACGTTTTACGGGCGGTAAGAAGAAGAAGAAGAAGGAAAGAGGAAGTGGGGGGGAAAGACACAAATTAAAAAAAAAAAAAAGAAAAAAAGTCAGTTGCTTGTGGGTATTTGCACCTCCTCGCGAGTCTTTTTTGTTTTTTGTTTTTTTTTGTTTTTTGTTGTTTCTTTCTTTCTTTCTTTCTCCATGTTGCCAATTGTTGTGTTTGCGTGTGTAACAACGCCCACCGCAAGAATTAAATGAAACATGCAAAATCAGCGTACACTTCTAAACAATTAATAAATGCGTCAGCAAACGTAGACATCAATAAATAAATATATAAATATAAATATATTTATTGTTTGCATACATATGAGCGTTTCCAGTAGGAGTTATCACAAGACACACGCACAAACATACAAGCACATACATGCAATCAGATATGTTTATACATAGATGAATGTTTTTAATGAATAAAAGAAGTAACACGCAATTTACAAGCAACCGCAAAGTTAAACAAAACAAACAAAAAAAAAAGAAGGCAAAATAACAAACACACAATAAAGAAGAATAATAATTAATAAAGAAAGAAAAGAAATGAAAAAAAAAAAAAAAGAGAGAGAGAAATTCACGGATTCTTCTGAATTAGATGCACACACATAGCATCCAACTTGAATCCAACAATAGTTTCCTCTTAAATCACTTTTATCGTTCCTTTCATTTCCACTCGCCCGAATACGCATTCCGGCCTCCCATCCCTTTCCCTCCCCTGAAAGGAAATGTTCATCGTCTCACAAGGAGGGTATGCGACTTGCAAGAATTGCTTCTTCATTCGTATTAAATTCCAGTTTCCCCAGGCTCCGCCCACCCACACTCCCACGCTTATTTTTGTTTTATTTTATTTTATATATTTTCATCTTTTTGTATTTTCTTCATTTATTTAAATTATTTTCTTTTCTTTTCTTTTCCTTTTTTCTTTTTTTTTTTTCCCTTTTCCTTTTGGTTATTATTATGACTATTATCTTTGACGTTATTGTGACAACTGCGCTCTCCAACCTTCATTTCCCTCCTCTCCCACTCGCGCTCTCAATGCTCATCGGACTCCGCCACGCTGCTCGCCCCCGTCAACGGCGCACCCCTTAAACCCCCTTACACCACCCCACACTTTTCCCCCGCCCTCGTGCCGTGTGTGCCCGTCTTCCGCCGCCACCACCGCTCCCCCCCCCCCCGCTTCCCCGCCCGCCATGCGAGAATGGCGGTTTGGGGGGAAGAGAAAAAAGGAAAAGACGCGAAGTGTATGCTTCTAGGCACGTGGAAACGTGCACACATGCACACGGGTCGGTGTGGGGGGAAGGGGGAAAGGAGTGGAAGAAAAAAGAGGAAAAAAGAAGAAAAGAGAAGAGGCCAAACCGCGTGGACGTGTCTGGCCATTTATTGTTTTTTTGTTGTTGTTGTTTTTTGCGTAAATGTCATTTGGACGTAATGAAAAAAAAAAAAAAAAAGATCGCACATTTTCACTTAAACAACGTGTCTCATAAGACAGAAGAAACAAAACGAAAAAAAAAAAGAAACTCGCCTTTTTTTTTTTTTTTCCCTTTCGGTGTCCGTGAGGAGAGTTGGAAATCACCGAGAAAAAAAAGGAGTTTAAAAAAAAAAAAAAAAAGCATACAAAGACAAAGACAAGCGCATCATAAGGGGGAGAAAAGAAACACAAGAAAACAAGCAAAGCGAAAAAAAAAAAAAGGAAAAAAAAAAAAGTAAAGGACAGATGGCAGAAGACGAAACTTGAAAAATAAAAGAAAGGGGGAACAAAAAAAGCACCTCCCCGTCTGCAGTAACATGCATGACAAAGAGTACGCGGCAACGGTAATGAGGGGGACAATGTTTTTCGTTTTTATTTCGTATTACGTTGTTTTGCGTTTTCCTTGGGAACCCCTTTTCACTGTGTCCCATACATACTTTGCCGCACTTCTGACGTCCATTTCCTTTTTTTTTTTTTTTCCTTTTGGTTATTTAGCCCGGGGGGAGAAAAGTAGTCTTGTCCTTTTTTTGTGTTATATTTACTTAGTTAATCTCATCCTGTCTCCCACGGCATTCAACTCCGCCGTTAAAATATTGTCCTGCATCCTTCGTCCAGGGCATTCACTTTGCCCCCTCAGTGTACTCTTTTTTATTTTATTTTTTTTTTAATTTTTTTTTTTTTTTTTTTTTTTTACCCCATCCATTATGTCGGGACGGCGAGAACGGCAGCTCCCACAGCTTTTTCTCGCTCAAAGGCGGTTCACACCCGTCCCACCCCACACGGCAGAGGAACGGCTGCTGCGTTAATAACCTCGCCAGTCTCCCGGGGGGACGAGGAACCGTCCTCATTACTGCCCGTCAAAGTAGCAACACGCCCGTGTCGTTCCATCGTTGCGATCGGCGCCACCTCGTCAAATGATGGCGGGGCCGGAAGAGACGTCACGGACGCCGCGTTCACACTCCGCGACAGCTCCACCACCAAAGGCATGCACGGCAGCCCGTCCGTCTGAAAGTGGCGTATCTGCTGCGGCAGCCGTCGCACACTCTCGCAGTACTCCTTTAGTCGCAGGTACTGCTCCATGTTCTCGGCGTACCAAAAACCATGACGGTCCATCAACACACGACAGCGCAGTTTGTGGATCAGATGCCAAACGTCGTTTGTGCGAATAAGAGTGATAAACGACGTCTCGGAGCGTGGCTCAATACCCACAACGGTAGCAATATCAGGTCCACATGTCGCCTCAACCACGCGGTTTAGGACAATAATGGTGCGATCCCGCAATTCACAAGGAAACATTTGAACAAACACAGGGAGAACTTGTTCCACAGGCTTTGCGACATGGGAATCTGGATGCTCATATTGTTTAAGCGCTGCCGAAAGGTTGTAAGAGTAATATGAGCAAATTCCCTGTAGGCTTCCATGAACATTGGTGCCAGAGCGCTGTCTTCCTGATGGTTGGCGACGTTTTGTTATCTGAATCCGAAGTGAGTCGTAACTTGGCGGGCTGCCCCTCGGAGGAGCCTTTTGGTTGCCGGAACCATCAGCGCACAGCGGAATAATGGAGGATGCACTTGCCGAATTCTGGTTGTTGTCTCCGGATGGAAAGCTGAAAGGAACAGGCTGAGAAGGCTTTGTGGTGACTGATGTCACAAATGTCTGCGGCATAACTGCTGAGGTTGAAGATACACTGACAGGGGTTGGTGCCCCAGAACCCACTACGGAGCCCGTGTTCGTGGTCCATGGTCCGCACATTACCGGTGGCATTGACTGAGGCGCCGTAGACAACGAAGAGTACGCCATTGTCCCGTTCACTTCAACAGTATGCTGAGGCGGGGCAATGACGTAGTAAGGAATCATAGTGGGTACTGGTGTGGGGATGCACAATGTTTGCTGTGAGTTACTTGGCGCGAACATCACAACATTACCGCCATTTTGCGCGGTCGTAAAAAAGGCGGGAATACTGTTTGACACGGTTGCGACTGGAGACGCCTGTTGATATGCCAAACAATTCGTGGTGCTACTGCTATTAGCTGGCACCGTCGTGTTGCCGATGGACATAAGCGAGGAAAAGCTGAGTTGGGGGGCCTGTGAGGTACATACCATAGAGCACGCCAGAGGATTGGGGGTACTATTTGCTATCGATGGTATGTTCGACTGCGCATTAACAGAGCCAAAGGAAAGGCAGTGCATGCTTGGTGTGGGTCCAAAGGTTGTATTCGACTCCGTTGTACGAGTTGTGTTTTGCTCCTCTTTGAATGTAACTGGCGCCAAATTGCATACATGAGTAGAAGCAGTCTGTAACTCGCAGTTGAGGTTACTGCCACTTTTCTCAATGTTTTGCTGACTTACTTCACTATGCAGATCGGTGCCCAACTCAGGAAGAGAAAATAAGCTGCTTCCCCAAACATCCTGTTGCGGGGCTGCCGCTATCGTCATCGCATCTGTAAATGGACTGCCTGTGGCCAACATCAATGCCACCTCTCCGTTATGTGCCGGCAAGATCGAATCACTCAATTCTTGAAAGCACATTTCATGAATCATGTCCTCTTTCGGATGGCGGCGATTGAAGGATTATATTTTCTGAGCGAGAATAAGTCAATTTATACAGATTATGGCGTATATTTATATTGAGCCAATTCAATCGTCTCTCCTTATCTCCAGACTCACAAACAATTGTACCCGTTTAAATGCTGTTATCTTTTTTCCTTTTTTTCGCGACTGCAAAAAGGGTGCCAGGCAGTAAAAATGAAAAAAAAACAACAACCAACTCAATCAAGGAAGAAAAAAGAACAGAACGCAATAAAAAAGAGAGAAAAGAAAAGGACGGAGGAAAAGAGCACAAAAGAACAAAAAAAAAAGACACCAGCAGGTGGCGGGCTCCATTCTTCAAGTCGCTCCACCCGCCATCCCTCCCAAAAGCCAAATAATAAAATAAAAATAAGGCGGCGCTTAAATAATATCGTTTTTTTTTTTCTTTCTTGTATTTTTCATTTGTTTTCGTTGAGTGCAACGTTTTTTTTCAACCAAACAGAGCACAAAAATCAAGGCGAGCGCTGACGCTTGCTGTTAGCAGCCATTTTTGCTACCACGAGCGGCTCACACCATTCCGGAAAGTGCCGTCGCGCGTAATCCTCTTCCTCATCTGTCAGCGGCCTCAGTGACGGGCAGACCTCCCGCAGCTGCTTCCCAAATTCTCCATCCGCAAAGCTAAAAGCCTTTAGCATTTCACTCGCAATGTTTTCGTCACGGCAAACAACAAAGGCTCGCCAGGGCCGCGACGGTGCGCTGGCGTCCGGTCCCTCCACCTTCAGGAGGGTAATGCCTCTCCGCAACAAGGGGTTCGTGAGGCTCAGGTTTCCAAGCTTCATCTTCATTGTCTGCCACGTCGTTCCAGGTGCAACACCCTCTACCGTTAGCGTCACACCTTTGCGCAGGAAACGTTTAATTTCCTGACCTTTAAGCTCCACCAATGCCTTCTGCGCCCTCACAACGTTTTGCTTCAATTGCGTCCCCTCCCGCGCCCGAATATCCTTTTCAGTTTTGGCGCGGTAATCCTCCGCTGGCATCACATTCAGGCGAGATGGCAAAAAGTGTTGTGCTAAGGCTGAGGGCGCCTCGCCAAAGGAAACATTCGCCTTGGCGCACGCCGTGGCCTCCGCCACCGTAGCAAAACACACCACGAAGGTGGCGTGTAACTGTGTTTCACCGTGGGGCTGTAGCATGACTCTAGCGGACTCAACAGTTCCATACTGGCTGAAAAATTCTTTCACCTCCCCGGGCTTCGAGGCGCGGTGCAAGGGCCACACCACAACACTTCGAATTGCAGGATCGTCCTTGGGATCCAGAAAACAACGCCGACGCAGATACCACTCGCCGTCTTCTCCTTTCAGGGATTCCACAAGGGTGCTTGACGCCGCCGCCTCTCGCAGGGAAGAAATATTTTTCTCATCAACAGTACAGTTCACAAAACGCAAAAAACTGACGCATTTTATATTCGGTGGTGTTGTAAGACCAGCAGTATTTTTGGGTGACACTTTCTCGCGAAAAAAGGCATTGGCCTGGTCGAAGAGGTACTCCGTCCCAAAGTATTTCTCCAGCAATTCTGCTGCAAAATTTTTTTCCGTCTGGCTCATTCCGCCTTCCTTCTGCTTAACCCACAATCCGGCACACGCATGCACAAAAAAAAAAGAAAGAAAAAAAGAAAACGGGATAAAAAATATAAATATTGCAAGCCCGGTGGCGTCGCATCACGGGAAGGGAAGACAATAAAAGGGGAGGAGGCACCCCCACCAGTGACAGGGCCTTCTCTGTATTCATCAATTTTTTTTTTTTATTCGTATTATCCTCGGTTGACGGTTGAATTCTCTTATAAAGCGACATTAACGCAGAAGGCTATTCTCCGGCAACTTTTAAAACAAATTTTCGTAATCATCATCACTGTCGCTCACACCACGGTTCCTACGACGTTGTTTCCGTTGATAGCGGCCGTTGTTGTGATATGATTGGCGTACATGTGGCTTCTCTCCCTCGCCTCTGCTGCCAGCATGGTTCCTGCCTACCCTTTGGTTTCCTTGTTGATTCGAATCCAAGTCACGATATTGGTCGTGTGTCCGGCTCTGCTGATGATTTTTATTGCGAGATAAATCCTCATCATCACCCCAGCGAGAGCGCTTCAACCCGTAATTTGCATATTGATCCATCTCCCTCGTATGAGAGACATTGTGCCTGTCTCCGCTGTAACCAGAATAGGGCGATCTATCATTGTAGGGACGAGACTTCGTCGCGTAGTGCCCACCGCTGCTAGCACCCCCACCGTAAGACCCATTTTCTCTCCTGCCGGCATTCCAGTTTGCGACATAAGAAGGCGCACCCCCCTCTCTCCACGCAGAAGCCTGATTGTAGCCAGGAGAGGCATACACGGTGGAAAGGGAATTGAAAACTGACGGCAACACAGCAGAAGCGCCAGAATTCTCCCGATAAGCCATGCCGTTCTCCGCCTCTTTTACACGATTTACCCAACGGTCCGGCACTCGCCTCTTCCGCCAACTGCAGTCATAGGCGTTGTGCCCCCTCTCTCCACAAAAACAACACGAGGGAATCCTCGTTTCTCGGGAAGTAGAGCAATCAAAGTGACCAAATGAAGAACAGGATACACACTGCACAAAAGACATATCCTCCGATAAAAGAGTTGTGGGAGACAAGTTCAGAAAAGGTGATGGGCGTGGCTCTTGACAAAGGTGGTGATGACCCCTTGTGGTGTGGCACGTTCTGCATAATGTATTGCAGCACTCGGGTTTTTCGTGTCCCTCCATTCCACAGTTCCAACAAACTTTTTTCTTCCCAGCCGCATCCGAGTCCCGCTGCTTGGTGAGGTCGTAGTAGCGGTTGGGACCGCGCGCAGCTCCAGTCCTTTGTTGCTGCGGAGCAGCATCTTTTTCAGTTGCCGCAACAACGCCCGCAGCCGTTGTTGGTGTTGTTGCCACGGACCTCGTCAATAATTCCGGAGAGGCATCGTCTCGAACCTCAGCAACACCCCTAATGTCATGTTGCTTGGCAAAAGAATTCCTAGACGCCGAAGCCGCACACTGCATTTCTTCTTTGCAATTGTACGCGTATCCAACCATGACACGGTCGGCGTTGTACACTGGAATGCGAACGCAGAACCTGGCCAACCGCCGGCTACCGTGAACGGAGCAAGTGACCAAATCGTTCCCATCAGCGGGAGGCGTAGAAGCCACATCACATCGATCCGACCTCATACGACAGGCCCAAAGCCTTCGCTATGTTTCTTTTTCTGTGTGTACTTCAGCCCCCTTAAAAAGAAGAACAAACAAGTCATAAAAGAAGTAAAATGCGTGGCAAGAGGGCAGACTTCTCTGGGTATGCTGAACTTTCATCGCTATCGTTGTTTTTCAAACGTTTTTTTTTTCGTTGTATTTTGGCTCGTGTGTGAGTGTTCGTGTCACTCCACGCCGTATCGGTTCACCGGTCAAACGCAAAAGAGGGAAAATGGGGGCAGGGTTTAGAGCGTTCAAACCCCAAGAAACACCAGCGAGGCAAATATGACAAGCAGGTAAGGAAAAGGAAAGAATCACGCGTGTCCAATGCGAAAAGGAAAAAATGGATGAACAACGCGCGCAAACAAAAAAACAAAAAAGAGATAAAGGCACAAATAAAAGTAGGAATTTTCGCCGCGCCCTCCTCTCACTCACATCACACGCTCCATTTTTTTCTTTTTTGTGTCCCTTCTCTTCCTCATTCCGAATGATTCTGCACGGTGAGAGTCCGGCCATTTAACATTCGCATTAAAAATGAATACCCTCCTTTTACTCATCCTCCCCCTCATACCTTTTCTTTTTTGTCCTTCTTGCGCTCGCCGGTGGTCACTCCTTTCACCTCGCCCCACCTGCGCCTTCTTCGGGCTGGGCGAGAAAGCGCAGAGTTGCAGAGCTTTACATACGAAACAAACCAAACTCTGTCTCCTGCCGCGGAGCCAAGCGAACTGTGCGCAGCGTCTGAACCACCACCGCACGAGTGTCCTCGGGGGCAATGACGCCATCATCCCATAAACGTGATGTGCTGTAGTAGCAGGAACCCTCCTTCTCGTATTTTGCCTTCACCTCCGATTTTAAGCTCTCTATTGCATCGGGCTTCAATTTAGAGTTTGTGAGCGCAAGCACTGTTGCAGCCTGATTCCCTCCCATGACACTTATCCTCGCATTGGGCCACATAAAAAGAAAACGGGGGCCAAAGGCACGGCCACACATTCCATAATTGCCTGCACCGTAACTCCCTCCAATGATTACGGTAATTTTTGGAACTTTCGTTGTCGCCACAGCCGTCACAAGCTTCGCACCGTCCTTTGCGATTCCGCCCCTTTCATAGGCCTTCCCAACCATAAATCCCGTAATGTTCTGCAGAAACAACAGAGGGATATGACGTTGAGAGCACAATTCAATGAAGTGTGCCCCTTTAAGAGCCGATTCAGAATACAGGATACCGTTGTTGGCAACAATGCCCACGTGCATTCCTTCAAAACGTGCGAACCCACACACCAACGTGTTGCCGTATTGCGCCTTAAACTCGTCAAATTCACTTCCGTCAACAAGACGGGCAATCACAGCACGTATATCAAAACTCTTCACGACTTCTGCAGCCATATCTGGTATAAATCCTCCAATCTCCTTTGGGTCGTACAAAGGTGGCGTAAAGGTTTTACTCTCCGCATCTTTTGAGCCTTCTTCCCGACTCAAATTTCTTACAATACGTCGTGTTAAGTATAATGCATGAAGGTCATCCGTCGCAAAATAGTCCGTAACACCACTTGTTCGACAGTGCACAGCAGCCCCGCCCAATTCCTCCGGAGTCACTTTCTCTCCAGTCGCGGCAAAAACAAGCGGTGGACCCCCAAGAAATATGGTACCATTGCCCTTGACAATAACGCTCTCATCCGACATCGCTGGCACGTAGGCACCACCAGCCGTGCAACTCCCCATAACCACAGCGATCTGCGGAATCCCCGCAGCAGACATATTGGCCTGGTTAAAGAAAATACGACCAAAATGTTGTTCATCCGGGAACACTTCATCTTGTCGAGCAAGATTGGCCCCACCACTATCCACAAGATAAATACAAGGGAGATGATTTTCCCATGCAATTTTTTGAGCCCGCAGATGCTTTTTAACAGTTATGGGATAATATGTTCCGCCCTTCACAGTGGCATCATTCGCCAAAATCATCACACGAATGCCATGCACAACACCAATGCCCGCAATAATGCCACCTGAATGACATGACTCCCCAGGATACAAATCGAGCCCGGCAAGCTGAGATAATTCCAAAAAGGGGGTCATTGGGTCAATAAGTTTCTCAATACGCTCTCTAGGCAACAATTTCCCGCGACTAACGTGTCGCTCACGGGCCTTGCGATCATTTTCAGAAGCCCCCTCAATAACCACTTGTACACGACGTCGCAGCTCCGCCGTTAGACCCTCCATACGTCTCAAATTTTCCTGGAATTCTGCACTCGTTGGGTCGCACGGATAACGAAGGACATTTGGTCGAATAGCTGCCGGAGCAGACTCGTACTGTGAGGAATGGGCGGCGTAAAGCTCAGAAAAATCCCGCAATCGCTCTTCCTTTTTGATATTGGACTGGAGGACGTCTCCTTCTGCTGATTTGTGCGGTGTCGGCCCGGCTGGCACGCTGCACCAACGGTGTGATCCTGTGCAAGAAGCAAACCCCATGGTGGCTAATGTGCAACGTGGCAAATGAAACCCAGAAGCGGTAAAACAACGCAGCATGTTTCCTGCAAGAAATAATTCGGGTGTGTGTGTGTGTGTGTGCAATAATACAAAAACCCACACAAGCAGCCCCTTTTGTTTGTTGTCCGCAATACCCCTAATGAATTACGGATCCCCCAATTCCCCTCTTCCCTCTCTCCCTAAAATAAATAAGAAGAGAGAAGTCCACAACTCAAAAAAAAAAAAAAAAAAGCTTCCCAACACAATATAAGAAAAGAAGCAAAAAAAAATAATAATAAATGGGGGGGAAGCGCAAAAGGCTTCTGATGAAATAAAGGTTTAAACCAAAACGTGGATGTATTTGTGTATTTCTTTATTTATTAAAAATAAATAAATTAAATAATTAATGTGTATTTTTTTTTCTTTTAAAAAGACCAACTTCTCGCACAACCCACATGAGCCTAAAGTGATTCCAAACCCCATCATATTTCTTCTTCTCCACCCACCCACCCACCACATCTGAGCATTCCCTGTTTCAGCTCGTTGTGGAAGAAAAAAAAACATTTCACCAGAAAATGTTTTCCTCCCCGTTGCACCCTGCAAAAAAAAAATAAATAAATAAATAAATAAACCAACAAAAAGGCAGAAACAAAACACTGTTGCTCTTTTTTTTTTCTTCTAATTTCCCATGGCCTCTCCAATATCAGACGTCAAGGCGAACGGCCACATGACTGTTGTCGCAGTCCTTTTTTTTTTCTTTTTCTTTTTTTCCGTTTTTACAAAATACCGTCAAAACGTGTGTATCTGCAGTAGACATGACAACAGAGGCGTTTTCCTTTTCTTCTTCGCAAACCGGGACCCCTCCTCCCACCTTAAATTCAATTTATTTCCCACTCACAAGCGGAATGCGGCTCATAATGCATTTCGCAAACGACACGACCAACAGAGAGAAACAAACAGTAAAAGTTAAGTCTTCATAAATAATGGCAAAATAAAAAAATAAGAGATCCACATCCAATCTTCGCCATCCCATTAGAGAAAAGCATCTCACACAACATTCACTTCTCTCTTGCTTTTTATTTAATTAATTTTTAAACTCTTTTTTTTTGTTTGTTTGTTTGTTTGGGAGGGAAATTAATGCGTAAGCGTTTTCTTTTGCCTCCTTTCACCCACCCCGGCGGATGCTCCTGTGGTCCATGTTTTTTAGTTGTTGGCTTCACTCTGTTGTCCTGTCAAGTGGGAAAAAAAGGAAACAAAAAGGAGAGGTCGAGTAAGCAAAAAAGAAATGAAAAGGCCACTTCTATGCCATCAAATAATAATAAAAAAGAAGCATCAGTGCAAAAACAGAAGCCAAAATGTAACTCAGCGGAATCATTTCACCCCCTGCTTTATAAGCCGTCAGAGGCACATCCTCTCGTGACGCCTTCGGTTCTACAACGGGTGGCTTGGAATCCTTATCCAAGTCGCCAACAATAAACTCCTTTGACAAGACTAGTGCCCTTGAGGAATGCCCGATGCTTTCAAAGGAGTTGGTGATGTCGTACCCCCCAAGATCATTGATAGGGTCAATTCCACCAGGATGCTGAGACAAAAACTTCGTGACATCCAACACACGGCCGTACAGCACCACCCAACAATCCTTGTCAGTGTTGTGTTTTCGGATTTCCTCCCACGCGTACTTTGGTAACCGTGCCTCTGACATTATGTCTGTCCTTTGAATTGTGCCTTTTATGAAATTAGTAATATTGGCCTGAAACTCTGCTATGAACGCAGACCTCTTACCTCCAAGAACTAACAGAAACACACACACACACACACGCAGCGAGAGAAAGACAGAGAGAGAGAGAAAAAGAAAAGATAGAAATTTTAAAGAGGCGCAAAATAAAAAATAAAATAAAAAATACTTTTCTTCGAAGATTCCCCCTATAGTAAACAGCAATAAATTATATGCGGCTCTCAAATACAAAAAAAAAAAAAACAGCACTTCCGCTCTTACCCTCAATGCAAACACGTGCGAGGTCATGTGTCCCAAAACGTCACCGTGTGGCGGTTCCATCTCAAAAAAATAATAATACCACCATGTGTGCTCACAACAAAATATATATATATATATATATATTTGTCACAAACTGCACCAAGACTCGCTCAACAAAAAATATATCTAATAAAACTTACCGAGCATTTTTACACAATTCTTTTTGTTTTGTGTTGTCTTGTTTTTTCTCGTGTTTTTCTTGTGTGTGTTTTTCTTTAATAAATCTGTTGGCCTGCATTCGGTGCGACATCGCGCGCCCCCAGATCTCATGGTGTTGCAGCCATGTCCCAGCAAGGCACATCTGGTCCGGGCGCAGGGCTGACGCCAACAGCCACAACCCCGTGAGTGAAAGGTTGCTGGCTCCTGGCTCCCCCTGACAATACGGAGCAATTGACCCTGGCGTACCACACTGAGGCGGCCGGCGGCATTGCCAGGGGAGCGGTCTCCAGTTGGGCCCCTCGCTTTTTCCTGGAGGACTCCGGGTCGTGTGTCATCCGCTCCGCCCACACGCCCAGGGTGTGGAGATGACTGACTGTGGTTCCCCTGTCCGACAGGCCTAGATAATTGGCCGCGGTACACGTAATACCAAGTTCCGCATGTATTTTCCACCGTCGCAGTCTCCGGGTCAGGAACTTTACCCCTGCAATAATGCCGCTAGCATTGTGGGGCACAAAACCATGCGTTGGCAGCACGGCAGCGACGACATTACGGCGCCGTGCGGGTTAAGATCGGAGCGTTGCACCGCATAATAATTGACTTTTGGCTTCCCGAAGAATCGCACCCGCGTTATTCGGTGATGGGTCCCTGGCAACGCTATGAGGTGGTCAAACATAAAATGAACAGGGAATATAATACCTCTTCTTCACCCAAACATGATGAAAATATTGTTGCAATACGCATCTCGCTAAGACCCTTTCGCGTGTTTCGCGTAAAAATAAATCAAAAGCAAAAGGGAATGCAGCTTGGATTCCGTGTACTCCGCATCCCCGACGCCTCAGAGGAGATTTGTCCCACGCTCATGCACCGGCAAACAGACAAATTCATTAAGAAATATGTGTAAACCTCCAAAGGTGGCTGTCTTCATAAGGGCCCCGCAACCGCCGGACTCCCCTCCGCGTGAGGGCTAACAGCGGGGGAGGCGGGACAGAAAAAAAACTGCCCTCGCTGCACTCCAGCACGGTGTCATCGGGGGAAAAATTCAGTTAAGAAACAAAAAAAGGCGGGAAAGTTCGTCAAAACACAATATCACCAAGATAAACACCCTCGTCTTCGCACATTCCTCTCCACGGGCCCCCATTATACATCAAAAAAAAAAAAAAAAAAACATAAATAAATAAACTATTTGCTGCATAATCCCGTACAATAACCCCACACTAAAAATAAAAAATTAAAAAAATGTGTACCAATTGCTGCCCTAACAGCCAGGTAAATTCGTGTAGTTGGTTGACCAGATAACGAACTTTTAAATAAGTAAAAGTGGAATGGGGAAAAAGGGGTAGCGGTGGAGAGGCAGTGGGTTTGCCACATCCTCAATTTTTGCTCGAAGTAGATATATATATATATATTGCCGCTAGCGTGGCACTGTTTCGCTTTTTGAAAATTGGAGATATTTATTAGTTAATAAATGGTAAAATTTTGGAGTCCTTCAACCACAGGACAAAAAATAAATAAATAAATAGTAAAAAAAAAAAATATCCGTCTCAACGTTATCGGTTCATTGACTCCTTCCATCGCGGTCTTCCAAAAAAAAAAAAAAAAAAACCACGATGGGAAAAAGAAGGTTACAGAAATATATTATATTATATGCGTCTTATCAGGACTTACATTAATTTGGGTGGCCTGCATGCTCGCAAACGTCTTTTTGTTGTTGTTGTTTTTAAAGGCTCCCAATAAATGGCTCTTTATCCAGCATTCTATATGGCAAGCACAATAGCCAACTGTAACAGCGATCCCGTAGAAACACCAAAAAGTAGGCAGACGCCAATGGCTTGACCAGCCAAGGCCTTCTCGCCATCACTTTGAAGGCCTTCCGTCTCCGGTCCATATGAAACAGAAATTGTGGCCAAATATCCGTTGGTTAGTCCCGTCACGGTAGATATTGCATAAGCTGCACCAAGATTGCGAATGTATCCTTTTGCACACAGAACCATCAAAGGAACAAGGATTATTCGCAAAAATGTGCATATAACCACCCACTTTCGCGAAAGCCACAACCTTCGAATTAGGCACATTAATCGTCCCACGAGATCACCGAGGCTGAAAACTGCCACAACAATAGTCCCGTACCAAGAATCATTTACGTCCACAGCCAGCAATACACCAGGAAAGAGAAGATATGTCATAAAATACGTGAAAAAACATGAAAACTGCACGGGATAAATCTTCTTGATGATTGGCCAGAGTCTTACACTCAAAAGCCACCCAGTTTCGTAGGGGTCTTCTCCAGAAGAGGAAGTAACGTCGTTTTCAAATTCTTCTTCCTTCTCTTCATTCGCGTTAGTCAAATCTCCAGGAACAACATTTGACCTAATGTCTGGTGTGTGGTTCCGATAAATATTAGCAAAAAAACTGCGCTTTGAACGTAATTCCAAAATGCGTTCCCGAGCAAAGGAATTTTTCGACAGTGACCATAACATAATCATTGTCACAATAATAATCCCAATTGCCGTGCTGAAGTAAATGTACGCCTGTTTTTTGACAGATTCAAATTCATCTGACATGGAAGCCTTAATAATAATCTGCAAAGCAGACGTCAGGGCACCAGAAACAGCAGCACCAATAACAAAAGCAGAAACAGTAGTGGGTGGGCAAGTGCCAAATAGTGCGTATCCAGTATTCTCATAAAACGCTCGTCCGACACCGCCCACAAAAGCCATTACCATCAAAGCAGCCATTGCGCCCTTTTCCGATGCATTAGAAGAGAAGGGAATTAACAACAACACCAGCAATTCCACAAGCATAAGCACACAGGAAGCCTGCAGCCGAAAATTAAGAGAAAAGCGGCGGCAGAACGTCGTTAGGTTCATTGGCTCAAACAAGGTCTGCGTTACCATGGTGACAACCACATAAAATGTAAGAACTGTATCCCAAAACTTTTTATTTGAAGGCACGGCCCCGTCATCTTTCAAAATATACTTGTAATATTTGGTCATGTAACTGGGAGCTGATGTCACCGCACTCACACCCATCACCATGGTAATGCCCATAACGATGCTTGTAAGAAAGAGCCAGGTCTCTCCATAGGAACTGAAAAACGGCATCTTGTGGCAAAAACGTGGCCCTTACCCACTTAATCGTGCCCTTTATTCGATTATTCCTGTTGCCTTTAGGCTTTTAGAAAATACTCGGTACTTCGCTTAAAATAAATAAAGAAAAGTAAAAAAAAAAAAAAGAAACATGGTTTAAAAGATGTTGTATTAAATATATATATTCTTAGAGAAATCCGCAAGCAAACAAAGAAAAAGAATAAAACGCGCACCGCTGTCCCCCAAAGGCCAAAGCGCCGTGCACAATTTCCCCGGAAAAGGAGTTCCCGTCCTTGATTGAGAAAGAGGACGCGAGGTGCAGGCGTCCGTCTGGGCACGGCCTTCGTGTAGGAATTCCCGGGCTACCATTTTTTCTTTGATTTTTAAAGAACGGTTTCCATTGAAAGACTTCCGTTAATTGACCGTTGAGCTGCGAATGACTCTTAAAGGGAAATGGCCATTTGTTTTCATCAATTCAACGCATGCCCATATTTAGCCCGCCTGAAGCGCCTCCAGTAGAAAAAAAAAAAAGAGTCGAGGGTAACAGTCCGCCCTAATTCGCGGTGCTCCTCCCAACCAAAACACCCTCGTCGTATCAATAAACACGCAGAGAAAGGCATAAAAAAAAGGCAAAAGCGTGAAAAGCCGAAATGCGCCAAGGGTTCTGGCTAAGCAGCCCCTTTCCCCTTCTCAAGCATTCTTCCCGCAACAAGCTTCCAAGAACTATTATAAATGGGAGGCAGTAAATCACACAAAAGCACACCTCCACCCAAACGTCCTTTCCGGAAAAGAGTAAATTAAAAAAAAAAGGGAAAAAGAGCTTCCCGGTGACATATACACACTTATACACAAACAGGGGTAAAAAAAGTGTTTTTAAAAAATATGAATTTATTTCCCCGCGCACAGGCACTGGATAATGTAAAATATCCCAAAGACTAAAAGAAGAATAGGGGTTCGCTCTCCTCACTTTCCTTTGTAGAAGTGGAAGTTGGTGGCTGTAAAACTTTTTGTGGGCCCAGCGTCTCTGTTCTCGGCCTCTTCACACCGGGAGTTCTTTCCTTGACAGCCCCTACGCCCCCCGTAGTCAGCCCACTTTTCTCAGTCTCTTCCTCCGGCCGCCACCACCGCAGGGTGTCACCAACAATTTGCTTCGTTTCGTCATTCTCGTGCTCCTCTGAAAGCAAAGAGGGCGTAGCACGCCTTTTCCCTCCAGCCCGCCTTTTCTTCGAACGCGGGGATTTTGCCGCTACCTCTGCCTTATCCGTTAATGATGATGATGGTGTTGTTTTTGTTTTTGTTGTTTTTGTTGCTGCTGCAACTGCCGTCGCTGCCGTCATCGTTGTTTGGCCAGCAGCAGCCGTGTGCACGCCACCTTCAGTGCGAGGTCTCTTGAGCGGCTTAACGACATTACCACTTCCGTTTGTCACGGTGGCGGCAACTCTCGCAGACTCGTGCGGCCCTTGCAAAGACAAAGAAGAAGCAAATATTTGCTGGCGCTCTTCACGCACCACGGCAAGGCTATCACTTAACGTCGGTTGTGCCTCCGGTGTTATCAGACGCCCTAAAGAAAGGAATTCCTCTGACTCCAGAGTCAGGCCTCGACGGTGGGACTGCGCAGCGGCGTCTCCACGCGCATGCAGAACCCCGTCGTACCGAAGCCTAACCCTGCCAAGCTGGTCAACACCCTCAAAGCGCAAATCATCCAACAGGTCACCTGTATGCACCGTGTCAATGTTTACACCTCGCACAAGGACATTATCGTGAAGACCGACATCCACAAAGGCGCCAAATGTTGTCACGCTCTGCACAATCCCTCTCAACATATCGCCGGGCTTAAGATCGGCCAATTTCGGTGGAAAACGACGAAAAATTCCTGCGTGAGGTAACTCCGAGCGTGGATCAAGAGCTGGTGACGCCAATTCCCGAGCCACAAGTTCCAGCGTCGCCTCGCCACATCCAATCCTACTTGCCACATCCCTGAGTTCCGCATCCCTCAGATTAAGAAGAATGTTACCGACCTCCCTTCTTTCTTTCCCCTCGTAAAGTTCCAGCAACTTCTGCACGGTGCTATACGACTCGGGGTGAATGTTAGTATTGTCCAGTGGGTTCGTGGAGTTTGGGAATCGGAAAAACCCTGCGACTTGTTGATACGTCACCTCCGTCATGCCTGGAACCCGGCGCAAATCCTCACGGCTCTTCAGTTTTTTCGCATACCGTGCAAGGACAATTTGATCCACAATGGACTTGGTAACGCCTGGAATCTTTTCCATCACGTAACGGTTGCTAATTAAGGCGTTCACACCTACGCAGGTCACACACGATTCAACCACACGATTCAAGGCACGCAAAAGTTCCATTTCGCTAATGTCATGTTGATACATGCCAATACCCATAGAACGCACGGGAATTTTAACGAGTTCGCTCAGTGGATCAATCACCCGGCGACCAATACTTACCGCCCCACGGTACATTGGATCAAGCGTCGGAAACTCCTCTCTCGCAACATCGGATACAGAATAAACACTTGCCCCTGCCTCACTTACAATAGCATACTCCACACTTAATCCCCTCTCTTCAATAGTATCAGCAACAATGTCCGCCACTTCTCGCGAAGCGGTCCCATTGCCTATAACAATTTTATTGAGTTTTAATTTATCGACACAACCACTGATGTAATCCCTCATATTGGCTTTATCCATAATAATGCACTTGAAACGAGTCAACACTCCACCATTCTCATCCAAAGCGACACACTTAACACCTTTAGTGACACCTGGATCCATCGCCAAAATTCTCGCGTTACGCATAGGGCACTGCATAAGAATATGACGAAGACTGTGTGCAAATACGGTAATGGCTTCTTTTTCAGCACTTTTTTTTAAGTCACGTCGAATGATGTTGTGTGTGGCCTTCATTATGTTTTCATATGCAGCCTCAAGACATTGATTTAGTAGACGAGTAGCTTTGGGGTCTTCCCGCCGCTGAAACCCAACAAACTTTCTTCGAGCCCATGAGAAAAAAGTATATTTGCTTCGACTGTGGGGAATCATCTTTACTAGAAGCACTCCCTTACTCTCACCACGTTGCAATGCCAAGACGTTATGAGCACTGATACGTTGCACAGACCATCGGCGATTTTCGTAAGCAGCAAATTTTTTTTTAAGCGTCTCAAAGGCATCGGTGCCAATTTCCTTGGCGTTTTTTTTCCTGGGGGCTGCCGCGAGTGAACTGCTGATCACACCGCTCTGTCGACACTCGGCCAGCATGAGTTGTCGCACTTCGTCGCAGCGCTGCACTTCCTCCACAATAATAGCCTGAAAGAGTTTGGCACCGTCTTTAACAGAGCGTAATTTCTCTGACACATCTGTCAACGGCTCCGAAGTGTAAAGCAGCTTCTTCGCGAGAGGTTCCAACCCAGCCTCCCGGCCCCTGTAGGACAAGCTTGTCTTCTTCTCCTTAAAGGGTTCCCATGCATCCTCCAACTGATTCAGATGCAACAGTTTATCAAATGCCTCTCGAAGCTCATCTGTGAGAAGACCGCGGCTTTTAAGACTCTTCAGCATAAATGCGCGGCGCCGTTGTACCTCCTGCAGTTCCTCCGCCATGTCAATGAGTTGGCGAAGAGCCTTCTCATCAAGGTGTCCAGTTTCGTCTCGGCGGTAACGCGCCAGAAACGGAACGGTAGAGCCCTTTTTTGTCTGCTCCACCACAAAACGGGCGATGGCAGGGGAGATAGACATTCGTGCCCCTATGATACGGTACAGCCGCTCCTGCGCGATCTTCCCCACATCCCCTCCCTCCCCAACCGCCACGCTGCTGGACGCACGCATCGCCATACGGAAATGTGGCAAATTTTTCAGACGCGCTGCGGCTATGCACTTAATGAGGCGTCGCATCGGGAGAAAGGAGAGGAGAAAGAAAGAGAAGGAGGAGGAACAAGAAAAGGTAGTGACAATGTGATAAAGCAAAAAGAAAAGAAAAGGAAGAAAAGAAAAAGAGAGAAAAGAGAAATTCTCGCGTTCCCTCTCTCTCTCTCTCCTAGCCTCTTATTATTAGTTGATGTTCCTCTTCCTTTTAATGCTGCTATATTGTCCTTTGAAAATGAGAGAAAGGAAGTGTATGAGTGGCACACACACACACACAAAAAAAAAAAGGGGAAAAAATATATATACAAAAAAAAAAAAAAGGTAAAGGCAAAAAAAATTTTTTTTTTAAAGGCATAAATGAATAGAAAAAGAAAAGAAACGGGGAAAAAAAGCCAACAGAGAGAAAAAACAACACACATAAACAAACAAAAAAAAAAAAAAAAGGAAAAGAAATATAATTATGGCACCATCATCGTCTTTTCCTTAGAATGGATCGAAGATAAAAGTTGTGCCCACTTCATTACGATGCCAGTGATTAGTGTGAAAAAGCCACAGCCCACAAATAATTTTAAAAAGAAATTTTCTTCATGTATTTCATTCTTTTTTATCGCCGTTGTCATCGATTCGTTTGGTTGCTTCAAGCCCTTCCATTTCCATGCCCAAAACATCCAACTGAATGATATCTGTTCTTCCATTCAGCAGCGCCCCCAAATGAGGCTTTGTCCTTCCCATATCGCCGTGAACAAATTCCTTCACGTAGGTGCCCGCCTGGGTCTCCAGGTCCATTAGAAACCAATGCGCATTCAGCGGCATGAGTCGAATTGAGTGAATCATGCGCGGGCGAACCTGCATGGAACGTCGATGCAGTACTCTAACAGGCGTGCGTTGTTCGATGTCAAGATCTTTCACGGCATTCACAGCCTGAAAGTAGTCGTCATGCTCGGGGTCTACAATAGCTCTGCTGCACCAGACAACACAGCGGTACTTCTTCACTTTACTCTGTGAATGCCGTGCCAACCTCACGGTAATGTCGGCGTCTGTGACACGCAAATCCGAAATCTCCACACTACCCTTCTCGCTTTTGTTTACTGCCTCCTCGAAAACAGCAAGATCGTGCGGTGTGACCCGTTGACGACTGGGTGAAATGATCTCCAGTACAAAAGGTCTCCCACTTCCAAGCATGCGCACATCCACGTCTTCACGGCCGGCACTGTGGAACTTGTAGCGTCCAAAACCAAACACACGCTGCGCAGCCATTTGCTGCGGGTTGACCCTCTGCTCCTCGAGGTGCTGTTGGTCCGCACTCACCCGTTCGCATCTCGATCTCTTTTCAATCTGTACAGTGCTCTCGTTTGCCTCGGCCATCCACGGTACCGACGCGACACCCTCGGGAAAGAAAAAAGGCAGTATTGGATTTGCAATTATCTCCTGTAAAGAAAATGCGCCGACGCGCTCGCCATAGGCAAACCATGGCGACTGAGAGAGATCCCGTTTCATCTTGCGGTAGTTGCCTATCAGCATGATATTAGAGTGCTGCAAATTAAATGCAATTGTTGCAGTCCCCTCTACCACAAAGTGCTTTAACTGACCCCCTGCAGCTCCGTCATTAACCCACCATCCAATTTTTTCTAGATAGGGTTGCACATATTCGTACAGGACGCCGTAGTTTATAACACCATCGCAGCGATTACTACAGTACTGTGGCGGAACCACATCCCCACCTGCGAGATCCTTCACACGATGGTGCTCGGAACAAATGTCCACAATGACCCCCTCGTTCTCTGGACTATATATGAATGCTTGAATAGTTTGTGGCTGTGTCCCAATAACCGCATTCTTGGAGCGACGCGCAATCTCTCTTAGATATATTTCATACCCTACGGGTGTTTTTCTATCTTTCAACTCCGCGTGAGAATACGTGGTGTATTGAAGAATGCGGGCCCGCAAATCACTCATAAAGAAGTCCTTAAAGTTACAGTGTTCCTCAGGTATCACAGCAAAAGGATTGGGCAGAGCACCCTCACGTCCGTGAACACCGTAAAACACGGTAGACACCATCAGCCACAAGAAAGACATGGAGCGGTGCACATTCACGTTGACGGAAAGACGATCCGAATCGATGTATGGACTTGTGCGAATAGCTGCAGCTACAGCGGGAGCATGGATGTAATCCATGAACTGATACAGCCCCAAGCACGCACAGCAAAGAAAAGGCAAATTTTGACACGCAATCACATCCAATTTGTCTCCGGTCTCCGCATCAAAAAACCGCAAGGCACTTCTTGGCGTCTCGTATACAATAGAAAAGTGTGGGTGGTATGCCTCATCCACAAACGGTGCCCCATCGTCGTGAATCGTCCCCTCAACGCCCTCAGTTTGGGGCAAGCGTAGCCGTGACGGTGGTGCTGGGGGTGGTGCCTGGTACATGATAGACATTCGTAGGGCACACATGTAACATAATGCATCCCGTTGCCCCATGTTGCTTCGCACCGTCACTTCGCACTAAACCCCATTCAATGCAATTTGACAAAAAAAAAAAAAACAACAGAATAAATAAATAAATAAAACGGCATAAAAGACAAAAGCTCGTGTGTTTCCCTCCGGCAGTAACAAAAGTCAATATCGTTTCCTTTCTTTTCCAATGACTCGTGTTAACGGTAAACATATAACCAGAAAACATAAATACCATTATATTCATTATTATAAAAAAAAAAGAAGAGAAAAAAAAAAGACGTATCTCTAAACACACCCTTTTTATCCCCAATTAGAAAGAAAAATAATAATAATAATAATAATTTAGTTTAATAAATAAAATTTGTTTTGTACATTTCGATGGTGTGATGAAATTCCTCATGATAAAAAAAAAAAAAAAACACTTTTTATCATAAATGCTGGACTCCGAGTAGCCCGTTCTCTCTTGCCTTCCGTTTTCTTTTCTCCGCTTGCTTGTTAGCTAGGCATGTGCATTGCTCTCCAGAAGAAAAGAAATTTTAATTAAAAAAAAAGCGTTTTAACTCTGCTTCAAATATTTTATTGGGGGGTGTAAACGGCTTTCCTTTTGTTAAATATTTATTCCTGCAATTCACTATGCATCCCCTCGCATCCCTCTCCTCCTCCTAATTAAGACACCGCTCAGCGGCGAGGAATAAGAAGACAGGAAAAAAAGAGGAGGAAGTAAGGTGCACCTCCAATGACGTGCCTGTCTCCTGGTCTTAATGATCAGAGACCAATTACCGTGGAGACCATATCCCTAATAATGGTAGTAATATTAAAAATAAAACGACGTCGACGATTTCATTTCAATCCCCTTCCCGTTCTTCAACGGTCTCCGTCACCACTCGCCCAAAGAATTCCCCCTTCCGAATAAAGAAACAGTAAATAAAAGACAGCACAAGAGTGCCGCCAATGATCGAAAGATTTACTGTGACTGTCTGCATGTCTTCCATCATCGCCACAACTGTCAGTGCCATAAAGAGAAGCAACGGGAAAATCATCACGCCAAGTTTGTACCCTTCCAGTGGCAACCTGAATGGACGGCTCAGATGCGGGTATCGGTGTCGTATGATCAAGAAGGACAGAAAAATCACCACCACTCTTATGCCATACAGAACCTGGTCGCTTTTCACAAGCGGGCCAAAATCAAGAAACACACTGAAGAGACCAGTGATCAGAGCATTGATTGTCAATGTCCAATGATACGTACCAAAACGCTTATTGCGCTGGTACAAAATCCGATTCACAGGCCCTGGGAAAACCTCGGTGTATGCAACACCAGCGATGACTTGCGATGTCGTGCACAAGGATGAAATCATCATTCCAAATGCTGAAAAAAAACTTCCCATAATCAGCAAAACCTGTAACGGGCTCCCTCCAACGCTGTAAGCTACATATGACCAGTACCCTGTCTTCCATTCGGATATGTCGGGCGGACCTTTTTTTGAACTCGAACCTGTCAAGATAGGTGGAATATACGTAAGATAACAAAGTCCCAAAAGTGGCACAAGCGCACGAATAATTGTCCGATGCGGAGTTTTAACGTCCTCAGTGACTGTGGCAACCTGTTCCAAACCGCAAAGATTCCATGACGCCGTGGAAATAAAGGTTGACAAATCAATATCAGCTGGAATAAAGCTTATAGCTGGCCAGTTCAAATAGAAATTGTTTTTAAAAAGGTGCATAGAAAACATCAGCACAAATGGCACAATTGTGGCGACCGTTAGCATAACACTAACCATTCCAACTGCTCGAACACCCGTCAGGTTCAAAATGTACGTCACAAACAGCATGCCAGCACGAAACCCTCTATTTGCCACGGTTGTGCATGAAATAGTGGTGCATACGTACTCGGAGAAAAGCACTGGATAAAGTGCATTATCGATAAAGATGAGCAATAGGGATTGAATCACCATGCTGAAATACACGACGCGATGAAATGAAACACTGACCCACATTAAAAACCCAGCATTGGATGGAATTGCGGTCGCAAGTTCAGCAACCACCAGTGCGGTAGGCATTGCCATAAGGACCGGAATTAATGTGATGACAGCCAATGTAAGAAGCGGACCACCGCCCATCACAGTTTCCTCAATTGCATAGGCTCCAGAGGTGGTGTAAGTGTACATAATGCCCACTAACATAAGCGACGAAAGAGTTCTCTTTGGTACATTTTTCTTATCGTCCGAGACTCCTGTTCCTTGTTCGCTCGGTAGGTTTTCCGTGGGAACGTCGGATGTGGTCCCTCCAACTGCAGCATTGTTACGCCGAAGCAAATGCCACCGTGGGTGCTCAAAGTACTGGCGTTCTGACATACAGTCACTTGGGGTTTTTGGCGACAAAACCTTTCAACTCTAGCAGCAAAGCTTCAAAATATATATATAAATCAAAACAGCGTTTTTTGTTTTTTTTTTATTTATTTCGGTGGAAGAAAAAAGGGTAAAAGAATTAACAAAAAAAGAAGGTGGCAAAACGCTGTCGGTGCGTGAGTGCTCCAGGAGAGTTCTCGGAGACCGCAACATGCATGTCCTGTCCATGTTACTGATATTAGATGCCATTTTTATTTATTTATTTACTTTTTTTTTTTTTTTGAACTGGAAAAGAAAAACAAAAAAAATGATGCGGCAGGCATCCAGCAATGTGTATTTATATAATGATATCATTTCTTATCGAGTGCACCCTTCTGGAAAAAGTAAAAAAGGATGTCGAAGAAGCTCAGAGGCAGTCGGCCGCTTACTGGCCTCCTCGGCAAGGCAAATTTTCACAAAATTCTTTAGGTCGTCTGAGTAAACATGACAAAAGCCCTCTTCGAACTCATGCAGCGTTGGCCCAAAGCCATTTGAAGCGTTCCGCCGGTAGCCATTTAAAATCATAGAGGGCACGGACAATTCCAATGGGTTCCATGGCAATCTTCCTGTCGAAAGCTGATATGTGAGAATGCCAAGTGACCACACATCGTTACTAGGCAAAAACGGCAATCCACGACAGCTCTCAGGTGACATATACGGCGGTGTACCGTAAATGAGCAAATCAGAATCATGCTCAGTTCCATCCGATGTTGCCATCCCATTTACTAATATTCCTCCTCTAGAAGGAGTTATGGGGTAAACACAGTCAAAATCTGACAAATTGTACCTTAATTGCTGCGTTGCATTGTCGATAACAAGAAGAATATTTTGCGGTTTAATATCATTGTGAACTACCCCAATCTCATCATGAAGATAGCACAAAAAATGAAGCAGGTCGAAAAGAATGGTTCGAACCACATCCTCCGTAAACCGCTCTTCCTTCTTCAGAGATGCGTCCAAGGTCCCACCCAACGCCAGTTCATGGGCACTGTACATGTTGATAACTAATTCCTCACCTTCGATTGGTGAAAATCCCACGTAGTAGCAACAATGAAAACGTGGATGCTTCAAATTTCGCCACAGCTGGACCACACGCATCCAACGATCAATCTCGTGGAGACTGCCTACGCACAAACGACTCATTTTCACAGCCACATCGTATTTCTTTACACCGTCCATTGTTGTTACACACAGGGTGCCACGGTACACATTCGAGCGTGCCCCTTTCCCTAAGGATTCGTATCGGTGTGTAAGAGTAACGGTGCTCTCCTGGTCGGTAAACTCAAAAAAATCATAGCACACATCAAACTCTTCTGCTGTGGAAGAATTCATCCCATCTTTGCATTTCACAAAAGAAAATAAAGAAACAGCTTCATCGGCGTCATCAGATAGGGCCAACTCGGCCAACTCGGCGTCAGTTTGCTTTACTGGGGAATTACATGCGTCCTCTTGAGACCTCGTTTTTGAGCTTATCCCACTCTCCAGTTGATGCCGCAACCGACAGAGGAATTCCATCGCCTCCTGAAAAGCTAGGGTACGCCACTCAACATCCCTATTCATCTCACACCCATCGTATCTCAATTTGCATAAAGAATATATACATACAAAAAAAAAAAAGGCACATCAAAGAAGTAACAAATGCACACACATACCCATTCATATGGTTTAATTTCAAAATTACGTGAAAATCTTTTTTTTAATTAAATAATAATAATAATAATAAATCTTCAGCGACAACATTCCTGTTGTATCAATATTAATTTCCATAGCACCGTCTATTCCCATAAAATGGGTTCGCTCTACAAACACACAAAAAAAAAGAAAAAAATATAGAAAACCGTACACATACACTATAATGCTTCAACTACACTAAAAAAAAAAAAAAAAAACGTGCCACAAGGTTCCTAAACCCGGCATCCTACATTCAATTTGCCCACACACCCGTTCACCCATCTCATACTAATATTCACAAAAACGTTCCTATAAAAGTTTCCGCTAACCTTCCTCTTACTCCTAAAATAAGTAGAGAAATCCATACGACAAGTCATTCCTTGCTTATCCCTTTTTCCCCTGACTTTTTTTATTTGGTCGTTTTCTATATTTATTGACTAATCCACCCAACGGCGCGCGCCAGACATATTTGGTACCTTCCACCCATCTTGATATTGCCAAAAGTGGTGTGGAGATCCACCTGCATTATTGAAGAAAAAATGTTTTGGTTTTCCTGGTGGAATTTCCTTCATAAAAGGAAGAGGAAAGCCGAAAAAAAGGTCGTACACCACACAAGCCACAAAAAGAAAGATGGATGTTCGATAAAAAAGCCACTCAAAGGGTATCTGAAAAGGCCACCCAAGAGCATATTTGGTCATGTAAAATCCGCCAGCCATAGGTGCAGTGGAAATCTGCTTGGGGTGCTCACGGTAAGGAAAGGTGCGTTTAGGAACGCCATGTGGGTACAGGGCATTCACATCAAATCCACTAAGCCTCACTCTTGAGCGGCAGAGCATTTTTTATCAAGCCTAATAAAGTATACACAAACAACAATTAAAAAAAAAAAACTGAAAAAAACTAAAAATAGCAGCCAACTTTATTTTCAAAAGAAAAAAAATAAAGGAAAAATAAGAATGCAAAAAAAAG